CTAAGTTTCTACCCCAAACCGAAACTTTTTGAATTTCTACCCGAACCCAAACTTTACGAAGTTACAATAATCGAGATCAGAAGATTAAAGAAGAAATGCAACCATAACAGTCATGCCCCTGAATACCGAAGGCAAAAAATGGAGAAACACCATACATGCTAGCTAGTTCTTATTTCGCCAAACTTCAAATTAGCTTAGAGTAACAATTTATATACATCACGCCAAACAGATTGAAATTCTATTCATTATAGTACAAATTGAGAGTGTTAATAAAATCTATTTCAAAGCGCTAAAGAAACTGGTTCTATAATGTATTAATCGTCATTCAATTGAGGAGTTTAAATAGAAAAAAAAAAAAACAATTCTCCGTCATCAAACATGCAGAACACCGACCAGAGAAGATAATAGCTCTTCTAAGTCAAAACTCCTCACATCCTGAGCATCTTCAATTTGTCAAATTGTTGAACACCAGCTTCTACATGGTTACCCATCAAGAGAGATCGATGAATGGGTGAAGTGAAGGTCCCGAGTGATGAGAATTATGTAGAGAGCACGATATTTGTTTCCAGATTTTCTTTTTCTTTTACTCAAAAAAAAAAAAAAAAAGGAAATCCGAAGGCAAGACAGATTTGAGATTTCTAGAGAATTTCAATAGGCGTAGGGGCAGACTTCTTCTTCTTTTTTTTCTTTATTATGATAAAGTTGGCGCAGAACGATAATTGCTTAAATGACGAAATTGCCCTTAGGAGGTGCAAAGACGACGAAACTACTATAGGATTGGGGCTTCTTTAATTAACATTATATATTTATTATTATTATTATGTATAATATAATTGCAGAATGTGTTTTCGTAGTTTGGTAGTCCTTCCGTATTCATTAGTTAACTTTGATTTTCATAGCTATCTTTTCTTATGCATTAACTTTGATGTTATTTTTTTATGTATGAAGTTTGGATGTTTAGTTAAAAAAAAAAAAGAAAGAATAAAATGTGGTCAAGTAAATAAAAAGACTTAATTAAAAGTTACAACTTGGAAGTTCTTGATTACCAAAAAAAATTATTAGGTGAATTTGATAAATCATACGACAGTTTTAAGTTCCAGCTATTCTTAACATTCTTAGGTTATGTTTGGATAGTTTTTTGAGTGTGTTTTTTTGTATTAGTAATGTAAAAAGGTATATTGAAAATATAAAAAGGTGTATTGTAAATGTAAAAAGGTATGCTGGGATGGGGATAGATATTAATTAAAAATTTTGAAAAAAATGAACGAAAAAACGAACCAAACAGAGCCTTAATTCCTCATTTTCTTTTGTTCTTCTCTTTTTTAATTTAATGATCACATTAATGAAACATTGCGAAATAATTTTGTAACTGAAAAAGAATATTAAGAGTTTGGTATCCTAAATACATTTGGTGGATATATAATTACCAACAGTGAGAGTTTAGCCATTCTCTATTTTTCTTTTACCCCAAGCTTGTTTGCTATCTATACATTGTGATCTCTCTACCCCAAATTCTTGAAGTAACTAATTATTAGCTTTGTTTTTCCTCTTTTGGTTCTGAAATTTAGCTTTCATCCATTTTTTAAGAATCGACGCCAGAAACCTTTACAAAAACATAATATTGTAATTTTCATCTTTGATACTTTTTTGTTCTTTGAGTTGGTTTTCGTTGTTGTTTTCTTTTAGTTGTCATGAAGAAATTAATTGAGTCTGTTGGTGTATTCTTTTTTTTCAACTTTTATTTAAAGTTGTAATATTATCCATATGTACACTAAATTTACCAAGAATTTTGTTTACCATTGATAAATTTGTTGAAATTTTGTTTATTTGTTTGTATTAGAAAGTGTAATGAACAATTAAGGGACTATCAAAACTTTTAATATTAAAATTTGTATTTTTCTTTTCATATAACTAGTGTTTACCCTGCACGTTGTGCGGGTTGTTCAAAATATATATGAGCTTAATGATTTAATGATTGTATGACATAATTGACGGAGTGATATATATAAAAATAAAATAATTTATTGATGTAATTTGAAATTGTGTAATTCTTAATGTCAATGCATTTTGTTATTTTGAATAATTTTCAATATTCTAAATTATCCAATGTAACTTGTTGTCCATCTTTTTCATTTTGTTTATTTATTAGAAGTATACTCTTAATTTTAGATAATGCTCCCGTGTCACATCTTTTATATAACAATAAATAAAAGGAAGGAATAGTGAAAGAGACCGTGTAGATCTTCTGTTTCGGCCAATTGAGCTTGAACAGTAACATCACAAGCAATGGTAATTGATGATAACAATAATAATAATAATTAAAAACCCTTGCTAAATACAAATTTGGTACTTTTTGGCTCTTTCTATGTTCCAACCAATAGACGCTTCGTTTGATTGACCAGAATAGTTATGTATAAAGTCTCAGATTGATTTATTGGCAAAAGTCAAAGGGAGAAATAGGAAACGTATTGATTTCTGGCATAAGCCAAAGGAAAAAATATGAAACGGAGGGAGAAGTAAGATGCCGACCCAAAGGAAATTGAATAACAACCTAGTGCTAGGATATTGTACTTCCTAGTATTAGACCTATATTTAATTACATTTAAGTACGGTCCATTGTGGTGAATTTTTTATTTTATTTTTTTCAAGGAGAAGTGTTTGGCCTTTTGTTTGGAATACGGAAATGTGAAACCCTAGAGTTGATGAAAACGGGTAGCCAAATGCTGACAAACATCTTATCCAACGGGGGTTCCTTTCCTTGGAATTCACTTTGAAATGGTAGAGATCCATGCTATTATGGAGAGAAGGGGTTATACAATACATCATATTTTTAGAGAGGCTAATGCGGTTACGGATAGGGGGATAGCTTATCTCGAAAGGCTTCAGTTTGACATTTCGAACAATATGCGGGTCTTGGTGATCATCCGAGTTACTCCTAGGGCCTTCACCTCTTAGAACAACCGTCTATACCATATGTGAGAATCCGATAGTCTTAGAAGGTAGCTACATAATGTGGACCTTTGTTTTAATAGCTAGACTTTATTATATCTCTACACATTTCTGTATTCTAGTAAGCCTTAGGCACTGCCAGCGCTTCTATCTTTAAATAATATATGGGGATTCTTCGAGCTTTGTGTTGGGGGGTTACAAAAGTCATTTTAGAGGTTAACCCTCTAAGTGTATTATTATGCCTCTCAACTCAAAGTTTCGCAAGTCTCTCTTTCTTTTTGCTTAAAAGAAAAAAAAAAAGATGTCAACCCAATAACTCTTTAGAATTTTAGCCAATGTCCCCTTTCCCTTCATCCGTCAGCCTTCACCATTATCAACGGTAACATTCCTAATTCAATATCCGAATAAGTTTTCTATATATGAAGAGCATGTCGGAGAATAATTTGAATTATAAATTGATTAACTTGGTCTTGATTAACGGAATAAAATTAGTTATTTATTTTTTTGCCATGTGAATCACCCTTCCTTATTCTACGTCATGTGTTTAATAGAAAACTCTCTTTTAATATAGTCAATTTGTTTATTTATTAATAATAAAAATACATGTCTATTCCAATACACCCATCATAATTAGTGTAAGGTATGATGTCGGAGCATCATACCTATTTAGTCTTTATTATATATATAAAGATATAATAATAACTGTCCATCCCATCATACCTTTTTACATTTTCAATACACTTTTTTATATTTTCAATACAAAAAACACCTAAAAACACACACAAAAAGATGAAACAAACATACCTTAAATTCCTAAATTGATTTCAACCAAAAACCTTATAATAAATAAATTAAAAGAATCCCCCACTTCATCCTTATCATCGTCCAAATAAAACCCACCCCTTCCCACCTCATTACCTCGCCTATATCACCTCTAAACCATCACCATCAATAATTTTATTTTTCCTCCATCAATGAAATTGGAGGCATAAAATTGGTCACCCTTCTTCCCTATCTTGGAGTCTTAATTAAATTTTAAAAGTTTTGGATTCCCTCAAGCTATTGGAATTGGATTAGGACTTGAGATAAATGATTGAAATTTTCGAAAAAGAGTGGAAAAGGAAGATTCGCTTATCGATGATGAGAACTTGTTTTATACTTCATTTTTGAATTTGATTTGAAGGGCAGTGGTGAAGAGCGGGTGGCAATAGTGCTGCTGATGTTGTTGGCGACAGAGATCGAAGATGACCTTATCGTTTCGGCTTCATCGAATTTGGAAGGACCGGGTTGTTCGGTGATTATGATGAATTTGTGAGTGAGGTTAATTGAAGCAGACGGTGGCGATGGAAAAGTTGGACTAAAGATGTGAAGTCAACGGTGAAAAAAGAACGAAGAAGGAGAAAGTGAGAAAGAGAATCATTCAATATAGACTGCGAGTATGTAAGAGCATCAACAGTTTAACTAGTACTCCCTCCAGTCCAAAATAGATGTAGTTGGGGGGAGTTGCACAAAGTTTAAGAACGCAATAAATATTTGGTTAAAATACTAATCTACCCTCATTTGGTTCTAATATACTTCTACTTTAAACACAATTATAATTTTCCATGTAGGGTAATGTTGGAAGAAATTGACAAAACATGCCTCGAAATGCAAAAACGACATATATTTTGAAAAAATTGAGTTTTCCTCCAACGACATCTATTTTAGAATGGAGGGGGTACTTTTTACTGATTAATGACCATCTAATAAAATAATAATATGTGTTATTGAAATTATTAATTGGCTGAATGGGTGACACGTGTCGATTATCTTTCTCTCTTTAATATATATATATAATGATTTATATCATGTTAAATGTATGAACGCGCTAAGCGCGTCTACACCCTCTAGTGCTTTATAATAAGAGAATAGATAGATTTCCATTCCACCATGAAGAAAGAGAAGAAGAATTAAGCTTGCTTTTCAATCCTTTTGGTATTTGTTTACTTGTGTCATTCTGTGTTTTTTTTTTTTTTTTTTAAATCATCAATTTATCGTTTCCTACCTGAATTATGGCTCATTCTGCGTCATCCCGCTCCAAAATCATCGAGAACAAGGTCAACCACTCCTGAGCCGCCACCGCCGCCGTCTCCGTTTCTCTGGAATTATCACAGCCGCCATCTGAGTCAGCAGCCATCATTGCCGATAGCGAACACCTCCTAACTCAGATGCTCATCAAGCTTCCTCCAAAACCCCTCCTCCGTTTTCAGTGCATCTCCAAGTCATGGCTTTCCATCATCTCTGACCCCGCCTTCCGCCGCCGCTGGGCTACTGTCCGGAGAAACTCCGGCGACGTTAGTGTTTTCTTCTTTTCCTCTCGCGTCAAGGACATTGGAGTTATTTTTTCTCTGGGTTCCGAAGGAGGGGTTTCACCGGGGGTCTTTAATTTGAATCCGTTGAAGGATTTTATGAATGATGAGCTTGACGTTTCTGTACACGGTTGCAATGGGCTGTGGTGTATTCAACGTGGGAAGGAGTTTGATCGCATTTCAATTGTTGTTTGCAACCCCACCACTTGGCAGCACCGAGAAATTCCCATTCCTCGCGGTACTCGCTGGCCAAAGCTTCGTTACTCTAACATAGCTTTTGATCCTCAAAATTCAGACCATTACAAACTTGTATGTTGGGGTATAGACCAAATGGATTTCCGATTCATGGTCTATTCCTCTGAATCTGCGGAGTGGAGGGTTATCAAGGATCATATTGGCCACACAACTTGGGTAGATTATAATTTTGAGAATGGGATTTTCTGGAACGGGCACCTGCATTTCATTGGGCATGTTAGATTGGTAGGGATGTCTCATATATGCTTGGATGTGGAAAATGAAAAGATTATATCAAATTTGACTCCAATTCCCGATAGCTGTAAGCCTATCTTTTATTTCGGGGAGGCAGGCAAGGATTTGTGTATTGTGAGCTTGCACAATGCCGAGTTAGGTACCAAGTTTGATGTTTTTGCACTGAAGAGGGATCACTCTATGTGGGCTTTCAAGTATCGATTTGATGTTGCCCCTTTGATCGCTACATATCCTGAAATTGGAACATTTGAATTTTTTATTTCTTCCTTCATTGTGAGAGGAGAGAAAGCTATGATCATGATTTCATTGGCTGGGAAATTGATTTCTTTCGATATTAGCAATATGATGGTCGATGAACTCATTGGATTTGAAGGTCGGTTGGAAGATTACAGATGGAAAAATGTTTTCCAGCATGTGGAATCCCTTGCATTGGTCTGACCGAGGGTCTTTGAATCTTTGGATCTTGCTTGCAGAAAAAATGTAAAATTGGAAAAAATGCTTACTATTATTAGCATGATGTAAAATTGGAACAGATTCAGATCCTGTTTACAAATGAAGCAGAGGATTTAGTCCTGTTAAGTAAGTTTCAAATAGAAAGGAACACCGAACACTGTTAGAAAACAACTTTCTTGATCACAAATTGTCAATGTAATTGAAGTGAAATACTCAATAGTCCGACGAGATTCATGAAATCTCCATGTATCCATTCAGGAACAGAAAAGTGTCATTTACACAACCAAAAGAACAGCTGGATACATCGGGCTTCTACTTCCCCTTGGATTAAGAATAGATGGATGATTTGAAGCGAATACATCATTGTAATCACATACAACCAAAGAACAGACTTTGTGACTTTTGAGTTAAAATCCATCAATCAGTTTTGAGAAATGAGATTCTGCAATGTTCATTCACTCTGCTGCTTCAGATATTCGTCGTCAACAACTACTTCAAGGAAATCATTTCCATTTTCTCGTTGTTCCTCGAAAATTTCCCTCGCTGAATTCGAGGCTCGGTCACACTCATGGATCAATATCTTCTTTAGGTTAATAATGTTTCCTAAATCAGATGGAATCTCGCAAAGGAAGCCACAGCATTTCACAATAAGCTGTTCGAGGCAGGGGAACGGGTCATCTTCGACACTCCATTCTTCAATGTCCAACCCATGGAGTTCCAAGTACTTAAGCTTCGAGAATTTTCCATCTTCCGCATGCCAACTTGTTCCTGAAAATGCACCTGTTCTTAACTTGAGAACCTCCAGGTTAGGCAACTCCCCGATTTTAGAAATTCCACTCCATGGCAGCTTGCATTCCTTCAGACTTAATTTTCTGAGACTACAGGGTAAATCAAAAGCAATAAACTGACACCATTTCTCGCCTTTGGGTGCGATCCCACAGCCCAGCACATTCAGTGACTGAAGATGAGTTAGGTGGCTCATTTCTGCTAACATTCTACTGTCAGATTCACTTATAAAAGGAAAGTAACACTTGAGCTTTCGAAGCCTTGGCAACTTTCTAAGTAGTTCATCAGTTTCATTTCCCAATTGAAGAAATGGTGCTGCCAAAATCTCCAAGTTGTCTAATCGACCGTATTCATAATTCTCAAGACCATATGTTAACCGCCACAAAGGAAAACTCACATGCCTCAAGCTTTTCATCCTCCAAAAGGTACTTGGCAGAGAGAAACCCCTACTCCAATCCAACCTCAAAATGAAGACTTCTAGGTTCCAAAGATTAGCAATGGATGGTGGAATCTTGGCTGCATATAAGTGAATTGCTAGGTATCTCAAATGGACTATCAATGTTACTTCTTCAGGAAAAGGACAATCTATGCTAATGCATTCCAAGTCCAACACATTAAGAAGCTTAAACCTGTTGAAAATTATAGAGGGGCATGTAACATGTATGGGTTCTTGACGAGCAGCGAGTAGAGAGTGTACAAATGGACTTGCAGGAACAGCATTGACAAATTCCTCCCATTCAGCATCAATGCACATTCGATAACAGTTCTCATACTTCTTGGAATTCGAAGAAGACTGAGAAGAAACTAGATCGCGGTAATGCACCCAATGTAGGAAATTGTCTTCTTGAGTCTTCGCCAGACATAAATCGTGTAGTAAATCATGAACACGGCATGTCTTAATTTCACCACTGGTACTTCTCGCGTCACCAAACACTAAACTTCGGCTGATGAGATCAGACAAGTATTTCTCAGCCACTCTATATAAGCTTATCTTTCTGTCATTTCTTGGTATTAGTCCTTCAGCAATCCACAAAGTCATCAGCTTTCCTGCTCTGACTACAGTATCCTCTTGAAATGCTCCAAAATAGAGGAAGCAGGGTTTCAAATAATCGGGCAAATGCTTGTAGCTCAATTCAAGCACATCCATGCACATTTCACTAACAACTCTTGAACTCGTACTACATTCAATCTGTTTCCAGAATTCTTTTCTCTTACCTACAAGGACTCCTGCAACCAAAACCACTGATAGAGGCAACCCCCTGCAGTGTTTGGCAATATTTTTAGCTATTTCGGATAGTTCATCGTCAAGGGGTGAACTATGGAAACGCAATAACTTGCCTTTCATTATTCCCCAACTCTCCTCATCAGAAAGAAACCGAAGAGGATGAACACTGCAATTAATTACCTTTCCTTGTGCCATCAAATTCTGGATTCTGCTAGTAATTAAAATTCGACTCCCTACATTGTCATCCGGAAATGATTGCTTTATGCGCTCCCATGCGTCAATGTTCCAAACGTCGTCTAGAACAATTAGATACTTTTGTTGCCTTAAACATTTCCAGAGTTTTTCAGCCAAATCGTCTTCAGAACTACCGGAGTAAGATTGGCGAGCATCAGCACCCGTGACATCAGTTAGGATGTCAAGGTACAACTCTCGACGCTTATACACTTGGGAAACACAACACCAGGCAAGTTTACGAAAGTGATGTACGATGGATGGATCATTGTACACTCTTTTGGCTATGGTGGTCTTACCAAGGCCTGGCATACCTACAACAGCGACAATGTGAAGCCCTTTTGTTCCCCATATGAGTTTCTCAATTATTGCCATCGACTCATCTTTCAAATCCATGATATCATCTTCAAGGCTTGAAGTATTCACTTCACTTGTGGGCGCATGACTTGAAGAAATAGCCTCGCAACTTGTTGCCAATCTGTTATCGTACATCTGATAATCACCATACCTCTTCACATCAACCTCAATGAGCTTAATCTCCTGTATTACATCGGAAAGCCTCAACATATCATACCAAATAGGATGGTTTTTTACCAAACAAGAGCTGATGACATGTTCAGCTAAGAACACCAAGTTAACAATTCTTCTCCAAAGATATCTGAGGTCCTCTCTCGCATTTTGCAGATCCATAATACACTTGAGGAATGGTTTGAAGGAAATTAGCTTTACTTGAATTATCAAAACTTGATCCTTCCCAAAAGCAATGTTATTCACCATTTCCTTCAGATTCTCTTGAAAGAAATCTATATATCCCATAGCATTTGCCATTGGAAAATTCAAGTCCAATGATTTAAAAAAAGGGACATATAAGAGCTCTCTAATCTCCAATTTCAATTTCTCAATCTTTACTTGGAGACTAGAAATATCCACTACTTCTAATTCATCCATGTATAAGGACAGAATCAGAGATATTACCTCATTTAGGACAACCTTAACTCGCAACCAGCGACGCCGATCTGCAGCATTTTGATCCACCCAGAAAGTGATCATGAATATCAAGTCCCCTTTGAGGATTTCAACACAATCCTTCAAAGGGCCAGCAGCTAAACCTTCCAGTAAAAAAGCAACAAACCCGACAACAACTTCGCTGGTTTGAACCGTGTCGGATTTTGAAGGCTTTGAAGCTGTCAAGAGTCGTATGATCATTTTTGCAACCTCAGGATTCCCAAACATAAACTTCTTCTGCTGATCAAGTAGAATTTCGGGTTCCGCGGCTTCGAATCCCTGAGACAATGTAGGTTCATTCTTCCCGTTAATCAAGCACCAAAGGGACAATCTTGCAGAACTCTGCACCCAATCCTTCTTCACATAATCCAAGAATTTTAGCAGCGTTTCACGGTCAAAACATGTTTTTTCTGAAACATCAACAAGGTTTCTCAGGAAAATCAGCTTTTTCGAATGAATCAAGCTTTTGTTGTTGAAAGATAAAATGACATCAGGCTTCAAGTTGTCGAGATCCAGGAAATGCTCGATCAGAGCATCCATGACTCTCAAGATCTCGTTACTTGAACTGCACATGGATTCGAAGGAGTCTAACAGAGTAAAACAGATCTTTCTCAACTTGGGCTCCAGCTGCTCAAATCTGTTTGACAAACAGGAAAATACAGTATCCATTTCCTCCTGAGGAATGAACTCGAGATAAAAACCATCTTCTTCCAGTATATCTCGAAAACTTTCCAACGCATTATTCAAATTGACATCTTCTTCAGCTTCCCTACACCTGAATAGGCAGCCAAGATACCTCATTAGGAATCTCAACTCCAACCGAAGAAGAACTTGAGGAAACCCAGATTGAATCTCTAGCCTACCCATTTCTTCAACTACTGGATCAGCCCCATCAGTATTACCTGCAGCTTGAGCCATCCTTTTTTTTTATAAATATATTTCTTCAAAAAGATGTTTGGTGCTAGCAGAAAAGGGGAAAGCAAAATAAAGAAATGGAAGAGAAGTCATACTGAGGGCATTCTTTTTTATTTTTAGGCCCTCAAGTCAAGTCAACTCCTCGAATAACACCACAACATAGGACCCCCTCCGTCCCAAAAAAATTAGACATGATCGAATATTGAGATTTGTACAAATTAACTAAAATAGTCCATATTGACAAGATTGAGTTTCAAAAGTTGTGCGCAATGTATTATTTTTTTGAGTAAAAAATATGAACTCTAACAAAATATTGTGATACGTTGAAATTAAAAAAATAGTCCCAAAAATATTTGACTTAAAAGTTAAAGTGAAGTTTGGATTATTTTTTTAATATGTGTTTTATTTTATTATTATTATTATTTTTTTGGTAAAATTGGTAAATTTCTATTGATCACTGAACTCTTTACAAATACATAATTTGCTATTCCCCTATATTGTACATTAGGCCTCCTGTCACCTATACAACTGGAATTCTTATTCTACTCAAGTATTCAACTTCTGATGTTTTAATCTTCTTGCATCTATGTTGTATTTTCCATTTCAGCTCCTGTTTGATGCTGTCAACCCTTTCCTTTCCCTGTTTTTTAACTTGTGAGAATTTCCTGGCATTTCTTTCCATCCACACGTGATGAACACATGCCATTACAGCTCCACTAATAAGCCCTTTCTTCAATTTCTGAAACTGGAAACCATTCCTGATCTGTCTCATGATCTGCTTCAGGTTTCTCTGCCTCAAACATATTTCCAACCAGTCCATCAGAGCTTTTAGGATCTGTTCTGTTCAACTTTTTCATTGTCAACAGCCTATTCTGATTGGCAACCAGCCAACAAAACTGTGCTTAGATAGGCAAGTCCTGTGTCAAATTACCTCTGCTTCTGCCAACCTTTGACCCTAATTTCTCCAAAAAACATAGCCATCCTTTATTTGATAGCCTGTTACATTCATCTTCCATGTTCCATCATCAATTCCTCCCTTTTTGATCAGATTTCTAATCTTCATTAAGGCTTTTCAGTGCCCGCTGCAGTCACTTGGCACTTCATATTCCCATAAATAGTGATTTTTTAGATAGTACTTATTGACCTTAATGAGTGTTTTAATGTAAATTTTTGTATTGAAAATGTAAAATGTATTAAAAATAATAATAAAAAAAAAGTATGTTACAATAGGACAGTTATTAATTAACAATTATGGAAAACCATCTAAAAAAATAACCAAACATAGCCGAAAAAGCTACTGGTCAGTTTTATATTCAGGCTGGCCCAACTTTTACAAATCCAACCATCAGTTTCTTAAAGATTCTGCCACTTTAAATATTCACTCTCCTAATTTTTCAAAAGCAATTTCAAGAAAAGTATTTCCCATTTCTTGCTGTTCCTCAAAAATACGTTTGATATGTATTATGAACAAAGAGGTAGATCACCTTTCTTATAATGTGTGAAAGAGTTTTTTTTTTTTTTCATATTTATAGGGTGTCGCTGAATTGTAGGCTAAAGTACTTAAGGTTGTTTCATGCCTATGACGATGTTTGAACTCTCTATCGATGGTTAAGGGTGGAAGAGTTCCTTTCACTTTACCACAAGTATTTTGGTTTAACGTGTGAAAATTCTATATATATAGAGATCTTAAGGAACATACTATTAGAGTGTTCAATTGACTTTTATCTTTGGGCTTTATGTGATTTTATTAAATTGGGCCAAGAGAGGGGCTAGCACATGCATATCAAACGCCATTCTCTTTCTCTTTTTAACACATAAATTTAAAATGTTTACAAATTAATGTGAACGATAAAAAAGACATAATTAAATTATTTAAAATATAGAGATTAAGTTTTTCCAGTTTCAAGAAGGAAGATTCATTTTTTTTCGCAAAATGTTGATATTTTTAAATAAATAAATTTTAATCCTTAACTAAGAATTTCATCTGAAATAGTCAAACAAATTTACAAAAGCTTGCACTTAATTGAACCAAGAAAGATAACATATTTTTTAAGACGGTCAATTATATAAATTTTGTATTTCATTTCGGTGGCAATTTTTAATCCAAATAAATGAAAAATTCTGCATCTTTAATCTTTTTATATCGTCACGACTTATACTCACCCTAGCAAAAATTAATATATTATTAACAAAAAATAAACTCTAAAATCAATCAAACTATTAGGTATCTCTGCCAGCACGAATCCAGATTTTCTCCCTTTTCTTTTGTTTTGCCCCCCAAAAAAAAGCTACAGTAATCTGACTGAAATGATGCAATTGAAAATTAATAGTTTTTGCTTTGGGTTAAAATTAATTGAAGTGAAAACGAAGGGCTAAAGCTGTAATTGCAATTTCTTGGTTAGAATATAGGGTTTTGACTTCCGACCACTGTTCCCATTTTGTTTTCTTCATTGTTTCACAATTCACACATTCTCACTTTTGGCAGAAGAATTGAAGCTTCCATTTTCAAATCATTTTGGTGTTGGTTTACCCGATTATTATGGCTAGTCGTTTTTCCGATGAGGAATTTTTGAAAAGGTACTCCGCCCGCTTCCTAATCATCCCCAAAAATCACCCCGGCGGCAGCAACTCCTCTGCTCTGGACTCATCGTCACAGCTGCCTTCTGAATCAGCCACCGTCATTGCCGATAACGAACACCTCCTAAGCCAGATACTGATCAAACTTCCCCCAAAACCCCTCCTCCGTTTTCAGTGCGTCTCCAAGGCATGGCTCTCCCTCATCTCTGACCCGGCTTTCCGCCGCCGCTGGTGTATTCTCCGGAGAAACTCCGCTGCTGTAAATCTTCTCTTCTTTCCCTTCGGTGTCAAGGACATTGGTGTTATTTCTTTTGGTTCGGAGGGAGTGGCTTCTCCGTGTCTCTTTAATTCGAATCTGATGAAGGGTTTTATCAAGAATGAGTTTGACGTTCATGTACATGGTTGTAATGGGCTGTGGTGTATTCAACGTGGTGAGGATTTTGATCGCATTTCCATTGTTGTTTGTAACCTCACCACTGGGCAGCACAGAGAAATTCCGATTCCTCGCGGTACTCGTTGGCCAAAGCTTCGTTATTCTAATATAGCTTTTGATCCTCAAAAATCAGACCATTACAAACTTGTCTGTTGGGGCATAGACCAAATGGATTTTCGATTCATGGTCTATTCCTCAGAATCTGCGGGGTGGAAAGTTACAGAGGATCATATTGGCAACATAACTTGGGTAGATTATTCTTGTGAGAATGGGATTTTCTGGAATGAGGACATGCATTTTATTGGACGTGGTGAATCCGGAGAGATGTCTGTCATATGCTTTGATGTGGAACATGAAAAGATTAGATCATCAATGCCTCAAATTCCCAACAGCGGCCAGTACATTGGTTATTTTGGGGAGGCAGGCGGGGATCTGTGTATTGTGAGTTTGAACAATCCGGAGTTATCGTGTACTAAGTTTGATGTTTTTGCACTGAAGAGGGATCACTCTGAGTGGGCTTTGAAGTATCAAGTTGATGTTGCCACGTTGATTACTACATATCCTGTCATGGGGAGACTTGGATATTGCATTTCTTCCTTGATTGTTAGAGGAGAGAGAGCTATGATCATCATTTCATTGGCTGGGAAAGTGGTCTCTTGTGATATTAGCAGTATGGTGGTTGATGAGCTCGTTGAATTTGAGGGTCAATTCGAACATTACAGCTGGAATAATGTTTTCCAGCATGTGGAATCCCTTGCATTGGCCTGACCATCTGAGCGTCTTTGAAGCATTGGAGCTTGCTTGCAGAAAAAATTGAAGATGTTCTTTTTGCTCAATCTGGAAGAAGCAAGGAGTTGATGGAGATATGGAAGTTGGTAATCATCATTCGTAGTTCTTTTTGTTGCTAATATTATGCTAGTAGGTAGTGGAGCTTTGCTAATATTATGTTAGTAGGTGGTAGAGCTATGTTAATCATGGTGATGTGCAATTAACTAGATACTCCCTTTTGGTGGCAACGGACTGGAGAGCTGATTCCCTAATATTATGGTAGTAGCCAATAGCTGATAGAGCTATTTAGTATTTGGTGACTCCTTATTGCTAATAGTAATATTATGGTAGGAGGTAGTAGAGCTATATAGTACTTGGTGTCTCCTTATGTTTTGAAGCGTTCCGTGTTCGATATGTTTTGCTTATCAATGGGAAAAAGGAGCAATGGTTATGATTTATGGTTTAGTTTTCACATAGAAAACCTAAAGTGAGTGGGTTGCATATGATTATCCTTTTATTCCATGAACGATCTTTTTACTTTATTAATTGACAAAATATTTGATATTGGCCACATAAAAACTAGACACTTTATTAAATTAATTTTTTAAAGAATAAAAATGAATTACTAATATACCAATACCCAAGAATACAAAAATAAAAATGTAAATTGTTCGAACATCAACCAAAAATTAAAAGATAGGACTTGGATTATGGTAGGAGTAAAGAAAAAGAACTTTTGAATATTTCTTTAACATTCAAACAATATTGTAGAAATAATTTTTTAAAAAATATTGTAATACTTATAAAATAGTTGTAATTTGTGATGATAACATAGTGATTATAAATAACTTTAACAGTCAAAAACTCATGTCTATATAAATAAAATTTGAAATTTATTAATTTAACTCAAATTTGAATTATCTTTGATGAATTATAAATTTACACACACACACACACACGTATACATAGAGTCAATGTACCGGTAGATGACGTGAATAAGTTCTTGTTTCTGCAGTTACACTTTGAGCATATTTCCTCGAAATTTTGAACCGAATTTCTTAAACAATATTTTGGAGCTTATAGGCTAAAAAAATATTTTTCTTACATTCAAGTATATTTTTCAATATGTTACCAAACAGAAGAAAGTATTTATATTCTTCAAAATCATATTCTTAAGAATCAAAAAGTAAAGTATCAATTTTTCTCAAAATTAAAATTCCAGGAATGTTAAATTTACTTTCCCCAACTCTCCAAGCAACCGAACAGGCCCTTAGGTTTATCTATATACCAAAAAAAATTATTTATCTTTAAGCATATTTGTGAAGTAGTGTAATCATTAATATTCTAATTAATTATACATAAAGTACCATAAAATTGATCACTATTCGTTCGGTACCAAAAGTTTAAAATGTTACTATATAAAACCAAAAATATAAATAGTGTTACCATTTAGTTTTCCGTTAGGGTTTCGGCAAAAAACTAACGGTCAACTGTTTTGTCACGCGAGTTGACTGAAGGGTATTTGTGTCCATGCAAGAATTGTTACAATTCACTACACAAAAAGTACTACAAAGTTGCTTACTACATTTGTTTGGTACCAAAAGTTAAAATGTTACTATATGACACCAAAAACATAAATAGTGTTACCATTCAATTTTTCTAAAATAAAAAAAAAATTGGAGAGTATTTTAAATAAAGATCTTAGAGCCTTCAATGAAGAAAATTATCCATGTACACTAGAAACTACCGGATCCAGGAGAAATAAATTTGAACACCGCCAGATCAACTTTAAGATAAATTGGAGAAGTGGGGATGGGGTTTTATGATTCGTGGAGATAAAGATATTTTTATTGCGGCTGATTGCAAATATATTGAAGTGAATTATAGCTTTGTTGTTAAGCTTGAAAGAATATACTATGGTTTAAAGCTTGCGAAGTACGAGGAGTCAGAAAGGTAATGGTAGAAACAGATAATAAGTCAAAAACCTGCTCAGATGAAATTTTCCTTGGAGCTATCGTGATCATCTAAATGACATTACATATCCTAAATATCTGAGTTAATTAATAGTGTAGTTGATAGTCTATCAAAGGTTGGGCGAGCAGGTTTAACAAAGACGTATGAACTTCTGATTTATTGTCTTCATTTTTTTAAAGTTTAAATCAGATTTCTTTTCAAATCTCCGTATAAGGTAGTTAATTAAAATTGTAAAAATATAATAATTAATAGATTGTCCCGGAATTTTTAGAAAATCTTGTGAGACACCCTCTTAGCTAAATGTTTTAAAATAGAGCTATCATAAATTTTAAAGTAATCTTTTTGAGGCCGTCTCTTACATATATAGTTTCAAAGTGGAACCGTCATGGACTTTTAGAAAATCTTAATACGACATACTCTTTAATGGGATAAGTTTTAATCACTGCCTACTTACTTTTTTTAAATTAATAAAATCGGGGGTGCCCGCCAGGTACTGACTGTCTTAGATTTGCTCAAAAAGAAAAAAACTGAATGGTAACATTATTTATTTTTCTGGTGCCATATAGTAACATTTTAACTTTCGGTACCAAAAGAATATCGTAAGCAACTTTGTGGTACTTTTTGTGTAGTTAATTGTAACAAATTCTTGCATGGACACAAATATCCTTCGGTCAACTCACGTGATAAAACAGTTGACTGTTAGTTTTTTGTCGAAATCCTGACGGAAAACTAAATGGTAACACTATTTATGTTTCTGGTTCTATATAGTAACATTTTAAACTTTTGGTACCGAACGAATATAGTGAGCAACTTTATGGTACTTTTATGTGTGATTAATTGTTAATATTCTCTATTTTATTATTTGAATTTGAATTTGTCTGTTGTTTAACGTACGGATTTTAACACCTAGTAGATATAGATTATGCAATACATGTAACACAACTTGTGTAATGCACGGGATTCTAGTACTCCTAAAACTAGAGTAAACATTGTGTTTTAAAATTTTTATTAGATTTTTTTTTTTTTGGATAAAAATGGTAAACTTGTATTAACCACAAAGAATAAAAAAACTGTACATCAGCCCTACTTCCTATTACAAATCATTGTATCTAACAATCCTAATCTGGTCAAGAACCGGATGTCATCACTACTACCCCATCTACAATGGTTCTGCACTTTCCAAATCACATTCCTAATTATGCTGTCTATTTTATCTTGTACTTGAAGCTTCCTGTTGCCAAACTTCCTTGCATTTCGTTCCTGCCAAATGTGGTAAACCACAGCACAGATTGTCGCAAACATGACTCTTCGCTTAATCCTCCTGTGTCTCCAAGTTTTCAGCAGTCTATCAGTCCAGCTGCAAAAGTTCTTAACAGCAATGTCCAAGCCAAGCCAGTTCAGTAACTTTGGCAGCACTTCTTTGGCATATGGGCAGGAGAAAAACAGATGATTTACATCTTCTGTACTTGCATCACACAGCTCACACCTAATAGGTTCTCTGAGTAAATTCATTCAGCTGAGTCTTTCCTATGTAAGGAGCTTGTTCTTCAGGGCGAGACAGCAGATAAAACTGTGTTTCGGCACTACATATGGACTCCAAATGATATCAGCAGCTCTTTGTTTTATCTGAGGACAAAGCAACCATCTGTAGCCACTCTTTGTATTGTACTATCTGCCTTGATTCCCAATCCATGTCCCATTCCGAACTCCTGTTTTCAACTGTTCCTTTATCTGTATCATCATTTTCCAATGCCAGCTACAATCACAAGGGGGATGGTACTCCCAGATTGTCTGCTTTTTTCAGATAAAAGATGTGGACCCATTTGATCCACAAGCTTTTCTTCTTCAAAGCCACGTCCCATATCTGGTTTCCAACAACTGCTATGTTCCACAATTCTGGATTCTTGATATGAAGACCACCTTCAGATTTATCTTTGCAGAGGTCCTCCCAATCCACCAGGGACAAACATGTCCCCGATTCTTTCCTTCCCCATAGAAATTCTCGACAGATCCTCTTAATCTGGGTAATCACCTTCTTAGGAATGACGAAAATCCTGGCCCAATAGGAGTATAGACTAAGCAATACAGAGTTAATCAGAACAACTCTTCCAGCGTACGAAAGATGGCGTGTAGACTAGCACTTTACTCTTTTGACCAATTTTTCCACAAGTAATTGACAATCTTGTTCGGTCCATGCCACAGGAGATATAGGTACACCTAAGTATCTGATGAGGAAATCCCCTTTTCTAAATTCCATTATCTCATGGATTTTCTGTTGGACCTCACTGCTTACATTACCAAAGTATATATCAGACTTCAACACATTTATCGCCAATCCTGTAGTGGCAGCAAAATCCTCCAATACTTTTTTCATCTTTTTAATAGACTCTAGATCAGCTTGGCATAGTATAATGAGGTCGTCTGCGAAGCTCAGGTTAACAATTCCCAATTTCTCACAATACGGATGGAATTTAACCCCCCCCCCCAGCAACCATTTTCTTAAACATTTTACTCAAATACTCCATAACTAGTACAAATAAGAGAGGCGACATCGGGTCCCCTTGTCTAAGCCCTCTTCTCCCTTTGAAGTACCCGACACTTTTACCATTCATATTTAGTGAATAGGTACATGTCGTAATACATTCCATCACCCAATGATTAAACTTAGGCGGAAACCCTAATTGGCTGAGCATTTCCTCAATGAACTTCCAATGTATGGAATCATACACCTTCCTAAGGTCAACTTTCAATATGCAGCTAGGCTTACTATTATATTTCCTAACCAACTCTTGCTTCAATAGAATATCGTGCAAAATGGATCGATTCTTTATAAACGCACCCTAATTCAATCCAACAATCTCAGGCAAAATTCTACTTAGTCTCATACTGATAACCTTAGTAATGCACTTATACACCGAATTACAGCAAGCAATAGGGCGATATTCGGATGCACTTATGGGGTTTTATACCTTAGAGATTAATGAGATGCTGGTTGAATTAAACTGTTTCAGGAGGTTACCTGTCTGGAAGAATTCCATTATAGCGTTGCAAACATCATCTCCTATCTCCTTCCAAGTGTCCCGATAGAACCCGCTATTGAAGCCATTAGGTCCCGATGCCTTTTGCAGACCAATGCTAAACATTGCATGTTTTATTTCTGCTTTAGTAATGTTTTCAATCAGGGAGAGCTGTTGTTCAATGGATAGTTTGATCTCTGATTGAAAAACACAACTATTCACAGGAGAACGATGCAACTCAACACCCAACAATGCTTCATAATATCTAGTAAGTGATCCTTGACCTGCTGATAGTTTTCTACCACAACCCCATCTTCCTGCATGAATGACATTATTCTGTTATGATTCCTTTGCTTTTTCAGACTCGCATGAAAGAATCTGGAGTTCATATCGCCATCTTGGATCCACTTGGTTTTAATCTTCTACTGCCAAAAGCTAAGGAGGGCCTGCGATGTATCAGTATACTCCTTGACACTCTATTTCTCCTGCATTTACAGATTTTCATTCAGAGGATCCTTCTTTAACATTTCCTGTAAGGCTTCCATCTGTTCCTTTTTCATTTGTACCTTTCCCTTTAGGTCTCCACCTTGCTTCCTGTAAAACTTTTTCAGTTTCTCCTTAAGCAGTTTTCGTTTCCACCAAAGTTGATACTGGCGAGTTCCCTTACATTCTTTAGTCTAAGCCTCCTTCACTAGCTACTTATATTCATCCAGTTGCAACCACAGATTCAAGAACTTAAAACACGATCGTTTTCTGCTTTGGACACTACTCCATTTAACGAGTAATGGAGTGTGGTATGATATTCCTTCAGGCATCATTGTTGTATAAGCAGCTTCAAATCTGTCCATCCACTGTTCATTTATGAAGGTTTTGTCCAATCTGGACATAATTCTATGAGGTCCAACCTGTTTGTTAGACCATGTGAAAGGTCCTCCAATGGTCTTCATTTCTATAAGTCCACATTGCTCTATTACCACCTTAAACATATTCGAATCAGCACTCAGGTTATCACTGCCACCGCTTTTATTTTCAGCCCTGATAATGCTATTGAAGTCTCCCATCAATAGCCAAGGTCTACTGATCTTCCCTACCTGTGATAAAAGAGCATCCCATAACTCTCCACTTCCTCTTGCTTGATGATCCCCATATATCAATGTCAGATCAAAACATTCTACAGTGCCTATTTCCTCAACTGTTGTATGAATCAGTTGCTTCTGTATCTCAACATTCAACAGTTTATACAACCCTTTCTTCCAAACGATCAGAATTCGACCTTTACTTGTAGTACTATGATTACTAATGTAGTCATAACTGGTCCACTTACTCTCCATTAGCTGAGGAGCTTTCCCTCCATCCAATTTAGTTTCCTGTAATCCCGCCAAGCCTACGTTATTCATAAAGAGAGCTTGGCCTATCTCTTTGTGCTTCAGAGGACTATTAAGTCCCCTCACATTCCAAGACATTATGCTAAACATGGTTACTAGGCCCTATATTAGGGCTACTAGCTCCACTATGGCAATTTTCACCTCCATTCCTTTCCTTACTCCTTGGGGATCATACCTCCTCTCCCGCTCTTTATGTATTTGTTTTGGTGTTTCCTATATTGATGATTTTCCTCTATTTGTTCGTTTTGCTTTCTGTCCTTGTGTTTCCCTTTGGAGTATGATTTTCTTGGTACCAGGCATAGCAGGCTTAGGTCTGTCTGGTTATGTAATGACAACTTCCTGTACAGTTACTTTACTTTGATTTGCCTGTTTAGGTTCCTGCTCCTTCTTCTTCCTTCCCCTTTCAGCTAGCTTTTTACACTGTTCTACTTCATGACCAAATCCCTTACAAGTCGTACACTGGACAGGTCGCCATATTCATCCTCAAACCATATAGCATCCGATAATCTTTCTGTAATATTCATCTCTGCCAAGACCTTTGAATAGCCAGCTCCGTTCCTCAACATTGTCATTTCATCCATTTTCAAGGATTTTCCTATAGTACTAGTTATCCGGCTTAATGTGATAACCTTCCAATATCTCAGTTGAAGTTTTGGTAGCTGGATCCAAACAGGTACTTTCTGGACATTTTTCACCTTAAACCCCTCTTCAACTGACCAATCTCTCACAATCAGTGGCTTACCATCAAAATGATCGACACTTTCCTTCAAGACTTCATCTTTTGTCGTTATTGAATTAAAAAGGATGATGTAAACACCGTTATCCATCAGTAATACTTTATCAATGCCAAACTTCCCTCATATCCTTCTAAGGTAACCATTCACCACATAGAATGTAACACAACAATGAGGATTTCCAGTATTCCACCACATCTTGAATTTCCTCCTTGTAAATTTTAGCTATATGCCTGTCTTGAACCTTATTTGGCTCTATGAATTCCAGTTTCCTTTTAACCCGAAGTAATTTCTTGGGATCAAGATTCCCTCAAACCCTCTCAGGTGAAATCCCATTCCCCAACCCTAATTCACTAGGATTCTTACTATTCGATGTTTTTCCAATATTCATAACCTTCTGATAATTTTTCAAGTAATTCAGTAGATTCATGAAGAATTCGAGAATTAGGGCAACTCACCTTACTCATCGAAGCCATGGCCTCATTGGATTGGTTCCCTGATCCCTTGGGACACTTCTGTTCAATCATAGCTTGTTTATCTACCTCCGATTTCACTGTTTTCCCTCTCTTCTTCGGTTTTCAGGCCATTGCGGGCACAAATTCGTACCGGAAATCGAAGTTCTCACGCACAGACGGTGTTTTCGCTCACAGTGAGGAGAGAGAAAGTCGTTTCGTCACAGGTAATTTTATTTATTATTTTATTTTTTTTATTTTGGTGAATAGTGATATTCGACCATATGCACTTGTGAGTTGATTTTTTTTTTTTTCGGGACAGTGTATTTTATTTTTCAAATTCAACTTCAAAGTCCACGCTGCACAAGTCAAAAAGTTTAATCTAACCGGTCCGACGATTTTTAAGATAAAAAGTCAATAAACAAATTGATTAAATAAGATTTCAGTCGTTCAGCAGCAAACTCCTCCTCTCTGACTGCTATTAGGTTGTTTGAGCAAAACTGCTCTATTCTCATCACTTCAAAAAGCCCTCGGAATTCGTCCCAAAATCAAGTGAAGAAGATGGCGGTCGGAGCAAAGAAGGAGGAGGAATCCATCGAAATCGTGAAGCCTCGCAATGATAAAAGAGAGTACCGAAGAATCGTCCTCGACAACGCTCTCCAAGTCTTGCTCATCAGCGATCCTGAAACTGACAAAGTATGCTCTTTTTGTTTTTCTTTTCCCTACAGTTTTTGAATTGGTTCTTAATTGACTTCTGTTTGATTTTTAGAGTTCTTTGATTTTTTTTTGTGGGAAAAAATGAATGAATTGTTTACTGTTTTGGTGTTTGCTTGTGAGTTTCAGTGTGCGGCTTCAATGGGAGTTGGTGTTGGTGCTTTTAGTGATCCTGAGGGCCTCGAAGGCCTCGCCCATTTTCTTGGTATGCTCTCTTGTTTTTAGATTCTGTCCTTGTTCTTTAATCTTTTCGAAGAATTTGGTTTTGTCTGGTGTGAATCAAGTCTGCTTAATCTGCTCATTATATGCATATCTCAAACTTTTAATTGCGATTGTATCTTGAGTTGTGAACTGTTTTATGTTGGCTTTAACTCTAGTTGTAATGTTATTCAGAACCAAACACTGTATTACTAGAAAGGATGGTGTTTGATGTATGAAACTCTTATTTTCCGTACAAAGTTAGAGTTTGATCTTCCAACGAAGCCCAGATTATCAAGGGATATATGGCAGTGGCAAATGGGTTTCCTTTTGGTGGTGAAGTGGATTGATTTTATTGGTCAAATTTGGGGGACTCTATTGTTATACTAGTTTATTATTATTTTTTTGGAAAGAATTCTTGGTATATTTGTTGAAGTTTTCATGTGATTTGATTGCAGAGCATATGCTATTCTATGCAAGTGAGAAGTATCCTTTGGAGGATAGTTATTCAAAGTACATTACCGAGGTATTGATTAATTCAGTACTTAATATCATTGGTTGTGACTTCCTTTCTTGTTGAGACCTGTAAAATCCATCTGTGATGTATATTGGGTGTTAAATTTTCTGTTTGTTGTGAAGTTTTATCTTATTACTTGTGTACCGGCTTTAAAGATAATAATAATCACTTTTTCTTTCAGCATGGTGGAAGTACAAATGCTTTCACTTCTTCGGAGCAAACGAATTTCTATTTCGAAGTCAATGCAGATTGTTTTGAAGAAGCTCTGGACAGGCATGGCATCTGCTTTCTAATGATTTATTTCTCACTTTTGTTTCTAATTAAATCTTTGATTTGAACTTCAATTTTCTTCCTGCTGTAAACTTCAATGCAATTCTTGTGATGTCCGTTTCCTTTTCCAGATTCGCCCAGTTTTTTATTAAACCGTTGATGTCACCTGATGCTACAACAAGGGAAATAAAAGCTGTTGATTCTGGTAAGCTTATGTTTTCCCGTGGCACAACTATAATGTAGTTGGATGATCTCTAAATTTTTCTACCTTGTAGAGCACCAGAAGAATCTACTATCTGATGCTTGGAGAATGAGCCAGGTATTTTCTGATCTACTTCTAAGATGGGCTGATGTTTATCCATTCAAAAAATTCTTCTATCTATTTTAACATTTATATTCATATTCAATTATAATTTTGGTGGTAATATGTTAATATCTCTCAATTAAATTTGTTATGGGATAGATTTTACTTCATCCGTTTCTTCTCATAGAATTTGATTGCCTGGGGCGCTGATTTTATTCCTTTCTGGTAGATATTTTGTTATCCTAGATTGAGGAAATTTTTGGAGCAGTAATACATGCTTTGCACTTCTTTCTTTCATTTTTCTTTTTTTCTCTTTTTTCAGGTTTGATTTAAATAGTTTTTCTTTATCGAAAACATCCTTTTCAACTTTAAATGATCTAGATTGTTGTGAGATTTCTCTAAAGTAGTTTCTGGTATACTTTTTTAGTTGTAGTCAGATACAGTATACAGGAATTTCAAGCACTTGTCCATGGATCACATTTATTGTTTCAATCAGTCGGTCACTTGACTTCTGCTCTAATCCTGCTCAATACCTATCTTAGCAATTACTGGAAGAGTAGTCTAATACCTTGTCAGTAGTAAATTTTGTGGGGATTGAAAAAATAAGTATTGTGGAAAAGGATCTTTAGGAAACATTGTTTGTATTTTGTAACGTGTTCTGGTATATCTAAGGAGAAAAGGTTAACCTTAGCATTCCCAAAATGATATATGAGCGATGCTTCTATTACTATATTTTGGAAGTTCGCTAATGATAATTCAGGGTTATTGTTCTAGGTGCATACGGAGAAACTAGAGCATAAGGAATTGAACAGTGGAGAGTAAACTTATAAGTGTAAATTTTACATCCTATTGACAATTTTCTAAGTCTTAGTTCTGTATCCTATTGATGTTCTGTTTGTTGTTTGTGTTTGTGAGTTCATGTTTATGTGCATGTTTTTACCCCTTTCTGTTGTTTGAAAAATTATTAAATTATGCTGTTCGAATCAAACTCTGCAGCTTCAGAAACATCTCAGCACAAAGGGACATGCATACAACAAATTTAGCACAGGTATATTAAAATCATCACTGTGACACTTTCTAAACTTTTTATCTCCCTTATATCCTTCTAATGCTGTAAGGCAATTCCATTATTCCTGTAATGTCTGGATGCTCATCAAAATGATTCGACTTGTTCATAGGGAGCTGGGAAACCTTGGAGGTGCGGCCAAAAGCAAGGGGTTTGGATACCAGACAAGAACTTCTCAAATTTTATGTAGAAAATTATTCAGCAAACCTCATGCATCTGGTTATTTATGCAAAGGGTAATTATTATTAACTCTTGCAGTTTCCGCAATACTTGACTTTGCACTCTTATGCATTGTATTCTTTTGGTGGCTGTAGATACTCTAGATAAAGCTCAAACACTGGTAGAAAACAAATTTCATGAAATCCAAAACATCGATAAAAGCTCCCCCAGATTTACTGGGCAACCTTGCAGCTCAGAACATCTTCAGGTAATTAATAGCTTTACGATTTGAACTTCTTCATAATTTTAATGCTGCCTGGGTCCTCAAATTTAAAACTTTTTAAGTTGCATACTTGTTGTGCTTGTTTCTTTTTCAAAAAAATCTGTGTGGTTTTTAATTTTTGCGTTGACATTTCTAAACCCTCTTTTATGTCTTTAAGGAAAAATGCAATAAACTCGCTTGTAAATGGTTTCTCCTTCCTGATATTGGGTTCACATATTCTGCAATCATGTTTTGACCCTGGACAGAATAATGGTAAAAAAGATTTACCTTGCCTTTTGATTTGTGTGTTTCTCCATCTCTTGAAATTTTAGAAAGGTAATGGATTTTTTTGGTTATCTAAAGGTCCTAAACTATCTTCCCTTCTTTTTTGCCCCCCCTAAAATCAAGGAGTTAGATTGAAACTGAAAAGGTGGATTTTTAAAAGAAAGCAGTTTCAGGAATTTCAAGCTCACACAAGCAATAATAAAATATATATATATATATATATATATATATAAATCATGAAATGAATTCTACTGTCGACCTTGTGAGTTTTGGCAGCTTTAATCAGTTCTTGAAAAAGTTGTTGGAGGTTGTCCGTTGGCATTATCAAGGTAGTTCATCTGATGTCTAATTCTCTTTTGCTCCCAGATTCTCGTCAAAGCTGTTCCAATCAAGCAAGGTCATAAGCTGAGAATAATATGGCCATCAACTCCTGAGATTCGTTATTATAAGGAGGGACCATGCAGGTACCTGGGTCACTTGATTGGACATGAAGGAGAAGGATCTTTATTTTATGTTTTGAAAAAATTGGGTGGGTTCTCAGCCAACAGTAGAGAAGCTTGAAACTGTTTAACCTTAACGTTGTCTCCTATTTGTCATTTATAAATTCTGGAATGAGTAAAATCTTTTGCTTTTGGTACAGCGCAAGAGCTGTTGTCTTGTGACCTAAGTTACAGTTTCATTCACACAATAGCATGTTTTGTAAATTAAGACTGTGTACATTATTATGCTTCATGCAGACATTGCACATGTTGCTGTATTTTTTCGGTTTGCTTTGCTGGGGATGGGAATATTGAATGATTTTGCATTGCAAAATTGATCTGAAATTAGGATTCTTATGTTTGATTTGGGTTGCGATCTTTGAGATATGCTTTGTTTAAACTTCCGTAATATGTAGTTCTGCACATTGTTTTCTGAGTAAGACAGCAACTATTCTTAAATTATGTTTTGGTAAAATACTTTGTTCTGATAGCTGAAGCTTTGGGTTGGGATTAAAACTTATAACTGTGTTTCACCTTCAAGCTGGATAGGTTCTTAACAAGTTCTGTTTTACTTGTTTAGTATTGAAAGGTTAAGGTAAAATGTATGGTAATACTTCAAATATGGGAGGGCAAAGAGGAGGAAAATGACATTTTTAACATGTATAGAACAGGACACGCCATTGTAGTTTAAAATATTTCTTTCGTATCCGGATGAAAGTATCACTATTCTTGTTTAACATAAATTAATTCTTTTCTAAGTCTAGTCTTTTCTTTTCCTGTTGTTATTATGTATTGATAATTTTTTAATGTATCGATTGACAATGCAGGGTGGGCGACAAGTTTATCTGCTGGTGATTCAGATTCGACAAATGAGTTCTCATTCTTCAAAGTAGTCATTGAATTGACTGATGCTGGTCATGGTTAGTATTGCTACCCCTTTTCTTTTGGTCTTCTAGAGGTGGAGGGGCAATGCTGCAGAAGTGGTTACTTTGTTGGCTTAAATGTTGAAACTTTTCTTTCTACAACATGCTATTTGTAATTTAGCACCCATGTCCATTCTACTTTATTTTAGTATCAAGCTCTTTAACTTTTTTTCCCTATAAACTTTATTTAGTGAGATCTTGTAATATACTCTGGATCTGTTCCGTTAAAAATTAAAAAATACCCAACAACTAACCTTATTATTCAAGATTTAGTATTATGGCTATAGATTGAAGCGGTGAACTGACACAAAGTACTAATAGTGTCACAGGAGGATCCATCGCCAGAATTCTGGCTAATTATTATAGCATCCTGATTTGATTGGAGCATTCAAAGTTTTTTTCCTCATCTTTGTTCTTGCATGAATGCTCAAATCTTTCTTTCTCTTCTGCGAGCTGACCCCTGAGGTGGAATTCTAGGCAAAGTTTTTTGTTTTTGTAAATGTAACATTTCTCTTAACCATATCGCAGAGCATTTTGAGGATATTGTGGCGCTGACATTTAGATATATTCAGCTTCTTCAAAAATCTGGTACCTGCAAATGGATATTTGATGAGGTACTCATCCTCTTTTCATGTGCTTAATCAAGTAGATTTTTTTTTTTGTGATTTATTAACTAACTAATCATGGTGAAATGCCACTAGTGATTAGTTACTATTCTGTCCTGATTCCAATTAGTTACTATTCTGCCCTGATTCCAATAGAAATCAGTGATGCTGAAGATTTCCTGTGCAGCCATGATGGCTCAGTACCATTATAATTTAGCCGAACTTCCCAAATTTTCAGATCTTGAATCTTAGATGCCAATTGGTTTTCTTTCTGTTTTTGGGGCTGAGTTTAAAACTTCCAAAAGCAATTCTTTCCACGTTGAGACTTATTTTCTTAAGCACAAGCAGTATAAGTGTTAATGGGAAACAGAAAAATCATGTCGCCAAACAGTATTATTATTGTTGATATCTCTAGGTGGGTCCTCTCACTAATTGGACTTTTACCAACAATAGAACTCTTAAGAAGATATATTACTGCCTAGATATAATGTATTACTGTTTTACAAAGTCTAATGAGGTATTCTTTTTAATGAAGATTTCAGCTATCTGTGAGACTGCTTTTCACTATAAAGACAAAATTCGTCCAAGTGACTATGCTGTGAATATTGCACTAAATATGCAGGTAATAGCAGTGGTCCACCTAAATTGTGTCTTATCAGTTTCTTCCATAATTTTTTTCCTTTTTATAATCATTGTTTAAAATTATTGGATAATTTTTTCCTTTTCATAATTATTGTTTAAAATTATTGTTTGCTGGGTACATCGGGAGTATGCTTAAGCTTGATCTCTTGGCAGCATTTAGCGAAATTTTTTTTTGCATTGTCTTGTTCCCAAACTTGGACCAGGCCTGATATTTATGAACCAATGAAGCCAGTTTCAGAGCTGTGACCCTAAGTCACATGTGAGCACCTGAAGCTGTATATGTCCTAACCTTACAGTATAAAATTATATGAATGGGAAGTACACATAACAAAGATGGATCAGTTTATTAATTAGCGACAGAACCAACATAAACTCTTCACTCTCTTCTAAGGTTTTATTGAGTATGTGAGGTTGGGTTCAAGTCTGGGAATAAGCTTTATGAGTCGGTAAGGCTGTATGTGTTAGCCTTGATCTCCTAGTAGTTGCTCCAGTTGCAAGTGCTCTCAGGGGCTAGGCTACACACTATAATCTTGTATTAGCTTGATAATGTGCAGTTTTCTGGCATTAGATATTCCATATTCAAGTGCTTGAGACTTGCATAATTGGGAATATGCAGACTTGTACTAGGCCTCATGCGACAAAATGAATATCTTTAGGATGAAGTGTAAACCCATTAGGCTACTCTTCTTGATGGAATTGTATATCTGAACTATCAAAATTGAAGTTAAGGCTTTGAACAGACAGACCAAATTACACTTTTCAATTTGTGAATTTTAACACTGGGTAGAGATATATCTTCTGAAATAGTGGGACATTTCAAATCATAATACTACAAAACTACTGCTCCACTCCAAAATTACATGTTAGTTGTGGTTATGACTTCTTTAATGTGTAATATCATGTCATCAGAAAAACCATAAATAGTAATATAAAAGTGTGCTTGGATGTCCTGAAAGAAAATAAAATTGACGAAAAGTCTGAAACTTATTCTGGTGAAGGTTTATGTGTTTGCTCGTGTTTGTTTAGATTTATCTCATCTTAGTTTCATAAGTTGGAAGAAAGGAGGGTAAAAATACTAAAATGGAGAAGAGGAGGTGAAAAAAAGAGAAAGAAGAGGATTTGTGGATGGCGCAGTAACCCCTCCTGGTTTTTATGCCACGATTGTTCTTATTCTTCAGACCTGCATGACCCATTAAGACATTTCGTGTCTTGGTTACCGAACCACCTTAATTAACAGAGTACTCTGCTGAGACATTTAGAGATTCAGTTGTCAAGCTAGTGGATTTGAGTTCTCGATTAATTTTCAGCTATTAAACAATTGCAGTTGATTTGAGTACTTCGTCAGTCTATCCATAAGTAATAAATCACCCTTCTTGGTAGAATGAGCTTATGGCTTTACTGGATATGATCTGGGCACAGCGTAGTAAATAAACCACCTTAATTAACAGAGTACTCTGCTGAGACATTTAGAGATTCAGTTGTCAAGCTAGTTGATTTAAGTACTCGATTAATTTCCAGCTATTAAACAAATTTAGTTGATTTGAGTACTTCATCAGTCTACCCGTAAGTAATAAATCACCTTGCTTGGTAGAATGGGCTTATTGCTTTACTGGTTATGATTTGGGCACTGCTTAGTGAGGATTGGGGTAACTTTTCGTATATTACATTGATGCCAATACTGTATATGTACTAAAATGATTTAGTTGGTTGGACCTGCTCTGTTTTTATGAAGTTTATTTGGATAAATGCAAATGTTGGTTATTTAGAGGAACGTACATGGTTCTTATTATGATTTATATCACGTCTGTATGCATACATACACAGGACACATATTTAGCATTATTAGTAGTGGAATGTGGCTTCCTCACGAGCGATTTTGATTTTAGATATTGATGCTTGACTGCTTGCTACTGTTATTTAGTAATGACTGTTTTCGTAATTATCAACTCTAAGTTGATTTGGTGGAGTAGCATCTGTATGATTCTTAAACTTGAATAGGGACTGATGGTTTATGTTTCCTTCTGGTCTGTGAATTTCATTTCAGTGGTATCCCCCACAAGATTGGCTAGTAGGATCATCTTTACCTTCAAAGTTTAATCCAGGGATCATCCAGTCAATCTTAGATGAGCTTGTTCCCAGTAACGTCAGGTTAGTCCTACTATGAGATGTATTCATCAATCTAGTTTTATGTCATGGTTGTAGATGCAGCTATGAGATTGTGGTGATCAGCATACTATTATCTGGCAGATTCAGTTTCAAATTTTCATCATTCTCGTTTTTCTAAGAAAATGTACGGGCTTGAAATTTATCACAACAAAAAGAAAAATAACATTCATTGCTTTAATGCTTGGTGAAACTGTCTTGATATGAAGGTTGGAATATATGCGTGTTCTTTCTGTATTGTCTACAAAAATATGTTTACTACGCTAAAAGTTAACCTTGTTGTGACAGAATCTTTTGGGAGTCTACTAAGTTCGAGGGGCATACTGATATGAAAGAGCCTTGGTATGGAACTGCATATTCTGTTGAGAAAATAACGAGTGCCATGATTCAGGTCTGTTCAAGTGTTTGCTGTTAATCTGTTATACTGCTTCACTTCTCATTTTATCATGATACGCGAGTGTTTAAAATAGATATTATTCTGACATTTATAAGTTTCTCTTTCTTGCTTCAGGAATGGATGGCAAAAGCCCCCAATGAGGATCTACATCTTCCATCCCCCAATGTCTTTATTCCAACTGATCTATCCATAAAGGATGCTACACAAAAGGTTATGAAGTTAATGCCCTTACCTTTTAAATTAGTGTCACTTCACCACACCTTGCACGGTTGAGGCCAAATTATATTCATTTTACATACTCTTAAAATGCCATAATAATATAATATAAAGAATTAAAAACATGTGAACTGAAATGATTTTCGTATTTGATGTTATCTTGAAAATACTTAGCAGAAGGTTAATAACAATATCTAGTAAAATTATATGAATGGTCAACAATGGATTCTTGGAGTGGGGGGTTTGACTTCCAAATGTTGTAAGTAGACATGAATTGTAGAATGACCCATCTATATTCCAGAATTTCACTGTCTGCGTATTTCTTTATCATCTTGTTTTCTCATAATTTCTTTTTTTTTTTGGGTGAACTTTCTCATAATTTCTCAAAATGTTGAGAAAGGTTTTGATTCTTTTTTCCCCTTTTCTTAAAACTAATAACATATGTGATAGCGTTTGTTCGAGTGACACGGTTGTGCATATAAACTTTGAACTTATTGAACTTGCATGACAATGTTGAATCAAACATTACAAAATGCATTAAAAGTAATATAACCTTGTGAATTTAACATATGAGATAATATTTGTAACTATGGAGCTTACTCTTGTAATTTGAATCTGGAGCAGACTGCTTATCCCCTAAATCTGAGGAAATCATCATATTCAAGGCTGTGGTACAAGCGTGACACGGTTTTTCTGACTCCAAAGGCACATGTTATAATAGATTTCAACTGTCCCTGTGCTGGAAATTCTCCTGAAGCAGTAGTTCTTACTGAAATTTTTACACGATTGTTGATGGATTATTTGAATGAATATGGTACGTCCTCAGTGTTAGTTGAATTCTAATACATCTTAATCTTTCGCATTAAGAGTTTCTGGAAACTTTAATCATCATTTGTTGTAGTGTTTGCTATATTAGCATGTTCGCGTCACTTGTCCTATGTTACTTTGGTTTTATTTTTAATTAAATTTCTTTTCTAATTGAACTCTGGTTTGATGGTCTCATGCTTTTTGTTTTCTGGTATGATTCAGCCTATGATGCACAGGTTGCTGGCCTTTATTATGGAGTCAGCAACACAAACAATGGTTTTCAGGTGCTTTTTTGCTCTTCAAATGTCCTCCTTTTTAGTCATTAATATTGTTTATGTTAAATCCGATCATCTAGCAATGAAATCCTTTATGATAATATTAAAGTCTGTACATTGTCAAGATGTGCAAAATTGACCACATACATCACATTAAGTCATATTCTTTTACCAGCATCAAGGATTATGGGAAATCGTGTTACAACAATTTGTCATTTTCTAGATCTGAAATGTGATATGTAATGCATTTTATTTCAGTTTGTTAAAAAATGTACTTAGATACTTGGGCAGTTAATTTGAGGATTTTAAGGATAAGTTCTTTGTGAAAAGCATTGCTTTCTTCTTGTAAACAATCTTGGTATTGTAGTAATTGGTTTGAGAGCAATAGCATTTTATTAACAACAACATGTTAATGATGGCAGTGTAAGCTCATTTGCTAGAAGTAGATGTACTATACCAACGCCTTCCTTTTGAAAGTGTTTGAAGCCCTCCTTTGTTGATGGATCAGTGTAATGGTGTAGCCTGTCTTTGAACTCTTTTATAGGTTGCTCGCTGTGGAACTGATATTTGATATGTTTGGAATATATTGCCCCCATTGCGAACTTTGTTCACTATTCAAGTTTTTCTGTATTATGCTCTATTATATCCTGATCACAAGAATCTCAATCTGAATTTTGGAAAATAAATCCCATCTGTATAGGTGCCCTTTGTTCTGTCTGTTTTATGGCTGTAAGCTCAAGGGAGGCCTTGTTTTTCCGGTTTCAATTTAATCAAATTGGGTCAATTATTTAGTTTTATGTTTTTTTTAGGTAATAAAAATGTGTGGTTTTTTCATTTACATTTCTTAGGTGACTGGTTGGATATAATCAAAAAATAGATTCTGACCCCATGCTGGATGTGATAAATGTATTACTTTTTTCAGGACAAAGATTCTGAAAATGCACTTATTTTGGCGTGTGAACACTGGACACAAGTTATTATCTCAAATCGTTTCAAATAACCTATGTTTGATCATGTCGACCGTTGATGGAATGCCCTAAGTAAATTGTGTTAAAAATCATGCTTGTTGTGCCCATCTCAGCTGATTAGGAGTTTAAGCTTTATTATTTGTAGAAATGCAACATCTCATTTCTCTGTATCTAAACAATTGTGCTGAACATTTAGTAGTTCTTCGCTGTTGAGCTGATATGACATATTTGAGATTCTATGTCCTCGTGGCCTTTGCTTTACATGTTCATAACGTTTTATACATTAAGTTTTTCTGTTTTATGCTCCATGGTGTGCCACCAAAAGAATAACAGTTTGATGTTTGGACAAGAAATTCCTGCAATTTAGATGCTCATGTTGTGACTTTGTTTTATGATTGTAAGCTGAAGGGAGGCCTTGTTTTCCTGTTTCAATATCTTTAATCATATTAATTTCAATTTTTTTTTTATTCTTTTTTAGTTAACGTAAAAATGTCATTTCTGACTTCATGTATAATTTTTAGGTGACTGTGGTTGGATATAATCACAAATTGAGGATATTGCTCGATACCGTTATTGAAAGAATTGCTAAATTCGAAGTAAAACCTGACAGGTTTTCTGTAATTAAGGTATGTTCATGTACTCTTTTTTTCTGGTTTAACCTATATAAAAAAATATTCAAATCTAATCTGTTCATTGCATGTTCGTGATATTTATCTATCCCTTCGATGCAAAATTATTTTTTATGAAGTGGTCAACTAATCAAATCTTATTTTCCTGGCTTATTGGCCTTCTTGAATACCAAAGTAGTCATCTTTGATGGTTCAAAATGTTCGTATGAAGCTGAGGCTATCAATATTTCTCTTTACATCATTAACTAACTTCTTGATTGGAGTAATATGCACTAGTATAGTGCTCTGCTAAGCTGCAATGATTAACCGAAAGTGGAGTTTTAATATGAGGTGTTATTATTGAAGTCTTGGTGCGAGTAATATGACTTTTGAGGTCAACTTGGAGTTTTGTCAGTAAAAGACTTCCATTTTTGCCTTTGTGATTTACTAGAATCATTGGTGAAAATACACGCCCCGAAATAAAATTAGGAAATTGAGGAGAAGTGCTAGATAAAACTTCATTATTAGTTCAATGAAAGGAAACACTGAAAGGGTGAGCACCGCCACCATGCTTAGGAACAGAGAGTAATTGTATGTTATTAATGTGGAACATGCTATATTGGACCAGGAGTTGATTCAGGAATAATTCTTGTCATGTGAAATCAGATTCATACCAATGCATATGAAGCTAAAGATCTGATAAACAGATTTCTCTCTCAAACTACAAATGTTGGAATTAGATGGTTTTAGATTTTGTTCGTGCCTTGATGTTATTCTTGAATGGCCGAAACTTTTGCAATTTGAAACATCACAGCATCACATAAGGCCTTGTGTATAGACTACCTCTGTTAACATGGCCTGTTCCTCCATGATGACAAATTGTCTCTGTTGCTCTTTTGTTTCTTTCAGATAACAGTATTTGCCACATTTGAATCATGGTATAGATTCATATGATATGCTATTCTTGATTGTTATTATTCAACTTGTATTAACACCAATAACAAGGGAAAAAAATTACAGATTTTGGCATGTAGCAAACTATTTCTGAAGCCATGAATGGTGTTTTCAAAGTGATATCAGGAGTTTATTTTAGTTTTACTGTTTTGTTTCTGGAAGGAATTGGTGACGAAGGATTACCAAAATTTCAAGTTCCAACAACCTTACCAGCTTGCTATGTACTACGGCTCATTGATTGTACATGACCAAGCATTGCCGTGGGATGAGGAACTCGAAGTTCTTCCACATCTTGAATCTGACAACCTTGTTAGATTCTACCCGCAGATGCTATCAAGGACCTTCTTGGAATTTTATGTAGCAGGTTGTTGTTAGTAGACTTTAGCATTTTCCATTATTTTTCCATCAGCAGTTTGTTTTACTTAACTTTATTGATTAGTAATTTCAGCAAACTTTTCCTGTATATTGTGTGATTTTCAGGAAATATTGAACCAAAGGAAGCAGAATTAATGGTGCAGCACATTGAAGATATGTTTTACAAGGGTCCTATGTCTTTGTCCCAGAGTTTATTTGCTTCTCAACACTTGACTACTAGAGTTGTTAAGCTTGAGAAGGGTGTAAGTTACTACTATACTGCTGAAGGCCTTAATCCAAGTGATGAAAATTCTGCCTTACTGCATTATATTCAGGTAAATGCCTCAACAGTGATGATAAGTGAATGGAATATCACCAGTTCACCATTATTGTTATTTTCCTTTCTTCATATTGGCAATTAAGTCTATCGTTCTGCTGCTTGTTTTCATCTTTTTCTGATATGCTAGTGACTGAAAGATTTCTATGAATACTTTTTGGGGGACTTCTATCTCTTATGAAGCACATCTAGGGATCTGATAGCACACTGTGCTGGAAGTATTTATATTTCTTTTGTTCTTTGGATCTGGTAGCACTGTTATCTGCAACTCAAGTGAGTTTTGGGGCAGAGAGGGAAGCCACGTTATCCTCGGGTTGAAAAATGAAAACTAAGAACTAGGTTTCAGTGTTGTCAAGATAGGCAGTCAGTTATACTTACTGTTTCTTGTAAATTAGGTTTCCATGTTTTCAAGATAGGCAGTCAGTTATGCTTACTGTTTCTTCTGACTCTTACAAAGTGAACTTCCTAAACTCCTTGTGTGCGTTTTCCTTCTTCAAGGTTCATTTCTTGATACCTGACGTACCAATATTTTTAAACCTCTGATGGAACAAGTTTCTGAAATGTAGGTGCACCAAGATGATGTTCTGTTGAATGTTAAACTTCAGCTATTTGGTCTAGTTGCCAAACAACCAGCCTTCCACCAGCTAAGATCTGTTGAGCAGCTTGGTTACATTACTGTGCTTATGCAAAGGTATGGCAGGTGTTGCTGAAAGCTAGGCATGTGTAGATTACATGAAGGTGACATCAACTATTTTCCTTGACAGGGATGACTTTGGTGTTCGAGGAGTACAATTTATCATTCAATCTACAGCGAAGGTAATCTTTAGACTCTTACGTACTGTTGAAAAGAATCCAAGGGAAAAAACAATGTCTTTGATGATCTCTTATATGACATAATTTTCACCTCCAACAATCTCATACAGGGTCCAAAACACATCAATTCCAGAGTGGAGGCATTTCTCAAGATGTTTGAGAGTAAACTTCATGAAATGACCCCTGAAGAATTTAAGGTAAACTTATTAGACTTGTTGGATTTTGCTTGGCTGTCTACCTGAGTTAGCCAAGAGTACTCTTTTGAACTCTTGTTCTGTACCCACATGCTAAATTGCTGAAGGATTGAAGCCTTATTTCCGCCTGTCTGGCTGAAATAATTTGTATTGGGCTGTGTAGGCTAGGCAACCAGTATATGAAGTAGTATTGGAAATTAAAAGGAAATTAAACTTAGTAAAATGGGAAATGATGCAAATTAACCATGGGTCAACTCTATAAACCTTTACTTTGGACTCTGCTAGAGACTCCCAGAAAGCATCAGTACTTGATGTCACTGTCAAACTCCTATACCTAGTCATTTTATCTGGGCTCCATGTAGCTGTAACTCTGTCACCAAAACTCAACAGTTAAATTCTGCCCTCTAAATGGATTTCGTAGCAACTTGAATAGATTCGGTTTGATTTCTAGTTGGAAGCTACATAGTTAGGATCTTCACCCAGTAGTTCTTCAGGACATACCTCGTGCTCCGTCGGCTTGAACCTGTCCCTCGCTATATATGCTACCAGTTCCAAGTAATTCCTATACATTTGCTGGCTCCTGACAAAGTTGTGCTGGTTTTAATTTGGTCTTAAGCTCAAACGATTTCATTCTTTAAATTGAGAAAGGTCTCCTGGTACAATCTGCAGCTTCCAGGGGCACCTTCCTGGTGCCTTGTCCAGCTTTTAAAAGTTGAGTCTTTTTAATGTTTGGAATCGCTCCTTATCTCAAAAGGTTCGGGGGATGGACATTATATGCTCCTGTATGTGGCTAGGTGATCAACATAAGTGTTAATGTTTAGAGATTCTTCAGTTTTGGGGATACACTTTGCTGAGACTTAAACGTGGTTGTGTTGCAGAGCAATGTCAATGCACTTGTTGATTTGAAGCTCGAGAAGCACAAGAATTTACATGAAGAAACACGTTTCTACTGGCGGGAAATATCAGATGGAACCCTGAAATTTGACAGGAAAGAACTCGAGGTATGAAGGCTAAATTTGTACTTGTTGGCATCTATTTGGTCAAAATTTTTTTTGTGACTGCCAGCACGCTTGGCTAGATGGGTACCTGTGTTATGCTTGTGTTAATTGGAAGTCTTCTTGAAACAGGTCGCAGCATTGAAGCAACTGACCAAAGAGGATCTGATTGGATTCTTTAATCAATACATTAAAGTTGGCGCCCCACAAAAGAGTTCTTTAAGTGTGCTAATTTATGGAAGCTCGCATATCTCAGAACACAGTAAAGATAAATCCGAGTTGGGTGAGCCGGACAATGTTGTGATAGAGGATATATTCAGCTTTAAGAGATCCCGCCCTCTTTTTGGTTCATTCAAAGGAGGCATTGGTCTTGTGAAATTATGAGTGCATTTCCATTTTGGAGAGATAAATTGCCTATAAACTTCACATGGAGCTCAGCTACGGAGTGCATATTATCTTCTTTCGTCACAGTTTCCAATGAACGTTAGAGTTGACGAGGTTGGCGAACATTAGATTGTGTCAGTTGTTTGTGACCTCTTAGAGATTATGTTTCCTGCTTAGCTTTAGGTTAGATTTGTGTTTTTGCATTTTGTAAGACTGAATGGTTTTACTGTGGGGGTGTATTCTGTGAACATCCTCATCACTTGAGTGGCGGTGACTGGTGAATGTGCGCTCGTGCTCGGGGTGATGAAAAATATCATAATGGAGGAAATGAAATGAATCCAGAAGTCCAACAAACACAAATGCCCAAAACAGCAGTATCCATTAAGAGACAAGAAGAAAGTTTACTATGATGTCCATTCTCTCTCTAAATAATATAGGGAGATAACTGGTTGTTAGGGAAATAAGTCAGATATAATAATAAGAGATTGTTTGGTTTTTAGTTATGTAACGCAGTAGTCCAAATGTACAACTAGGACACTTGTCAAAGCAAAATTCCTCGAGACTCCAATAATGCCACATCCTAAACCTATTCCGACTCGAACATGTTCAAATGTTGTAAAGTTTAGGGGTTCGGTCGTGACAGTTAGACGAGGGATTCCTAAGAACGCGGTTCTCTTGCTTGAGATATCTTGTCGTACTCTTCTTGTTGCAGTCCTTCTAAATCGGATTCCAGCTTCCCAAAAGCCTCTTTGCTTATGGCCGTAACTCTTATTATTATTCACTTTATATCCATAATCATAACCTGTAGACACAGTAATCCATAGATTTTCCTTCGTATTCGTATCTTCTTCCTCCATTTTTATTCCTTTTTTATTCGAATTCTTTGCAGCGTGGAGTTGCATTAAGTGGAATGAATTTTACCCCCTTTAATTTTTTTTTTTTTATTTTTTTTTTGCTTTTAAGGGTGCCAATCCAAGCTAGTTGAGTTAATTTATTACTAGATGTTTGGCCCATGCAGATGCCCGGGCGCCCTTTCTAAATTACTATTTTATTAAAATCTAATTGAATTACTATTTTTTGAGGAATTAATTTGGCGTATATACCATTTATGTTATGGTTTGGGACTTAAAAAAAATATACCTATAAATCTGAGGTTATAAGGGAATAATAAATAATTAATTTATAAGACATTATTCTTAATTACTGGATTTAGGTTTTTTTATTTTTTGTTTATATTAAGCCTGCAAAACTGTACGATTGGACATTTGAATTTGAATTAATATATCCATTCGTTTGAAATGTAACTGATTCTTATTTGTAGAATTTTTTCATTGGACTCGGTCACATCTAAAACATGTATTTTTTTTTTTAAAAAAGAATTATATAACTTCTAATTAAAAGAGACTTACACGTGGCAAAAAAACTCCTGAAATCTGAAATATGATACATTGGAGCCAAAACAGATGCATATGTAGTTACCACATAAGCTTCATGTCTTCTACTTTAATAGGGTAAAAGGGATGTATAGCACAGTACAATATTAATTAACGATGAATACATGTCATGGTACTCTTTGAATTACAGATATAACAAGATTAAGAAGATGTCTTGAGCGTTTAAAGAAAGATCATTCGAGATATCAAAAAAAAAGTTATTAAGTACGAAATGGGTTTGTGAGCGTTTTAAAATTTTTTTTTTTTGTTGTTTTTGAACTCGCCCATGAGCTAAAGGTTTAGTCGTCCTACTTATAGGGTAGTTTAAGTTGGTATTTTTTGTTCTTGGCCTCTTTCATTGTGATTTGTACCCAGAAAAAAAAATGTACTAGTACCCGATCCACCTAAATTTTGAATGACGGGGTTTTATGTTATTTTTTAAAAAAGTTTTGGAATATATCACGGCTCTAAAACAATTGACTTTTTACAATCTATAGTACTTAATTAAAGCAGCAAACAAAAAAGACATGTGCCAGCATCACAATGAAAATTTTCCCGCCAAAAGTCATTTTCAGTACAAAATCATTTTTGACACGGGGCACTCTACCTAATTAGAAAAAAAAGATAGAATAGATAAATACATAAATCCCTTAATTATACTTACATAAAAATATCTTAGTTATAGGTATATATTAATCTCTTAAAACAATAATATTTAGTTGATAAAATTAAATGTGAGGAAATCCCCTTAAATCAATTACTTAAAATCTGACATCAATTATCAATCCATCTCTTTCTACAACAGAGAAAAAATAAGCTGTCATAAAAGAAATTTGATTTTTTTAAGGATGATTTTTTCTATTTTTCTGTTGTAGATATTGGTCTATAATTTATGTAAACTCGGGCATAAGTTAACTGTTATAAATTAAATATTGTAAATTTGGGTATAGATTTATGTGTAATAACTCACTTTCTGTCCTTTAAATCGATTTTTTATTCTTCTAATTATTTTTATTCTTTTAAGAATGATTCGTATTTTTTATTTAATCAATTTAAAAATACAGACGACACCCCGGGCCAAGCATCTAGTTCTTTGTATTATAGTCGTAAATCAACCAAAAATCCAATGGACGTGGATTTGTTTAAAAATGATGGTCATTTTACACAATTCAACTTCTATTTTCTGTGGAGTTGTTTAAACTTTAAAATAATGATCGATTCTGTGTTAAAAAATTAAATTTATGAAAGTTTTACTTAGAGAAACGATGGAGTTTCTAGTAATTATAAAAAAAAACTAATTTTTATTGTTAAAAAATGATGGATTTTACAAATGAGCCACACACGAGCAATGTCATAGCCAATCATGATTACAAGGGTAAAGACTACAGGACTCAAATTCAAATGGGAAGTGGGTAAGTAATGGTGCGTGAAGAAGAACATCAAAACGGGGACTATTCTCATAAAGTTTGTATCGCAATTGTTTAAGTGTTTAGCAACCCTGGCTTCAATAGCTACATCATCAAAACCACTGCCAAGCATGGAACATTGACTCTTCTCTATAGCATAGGCGGGCGCACACTCTCCGTGCCAGGATCCTGGCGTTGTCATGCATCTCTCCGCAAGCCAAAGATATGGACTCTCCCGCAGGATTATGTGAAGGCTGGATCTACCCTATTGGAGCGTTTGTGCCTCTTGTTATAAGCACACTCAGTGTAACTTTGCAAAATTTCACAATAATAAAAACCAAAAATAAATAAATAAATAAAATAAAATAAAAATGATGGAGTTCTTATTTATTTTTTATTATGCAATTATTATTGTTAAAAAAAAAAAAACTATAGATCCATCTGGTTCTGGAATTCCACAGGGTTCGCCCTCAGCACGTTTCACATCATTCTCAACTTCATTTTCTACATCGATACATGCCTGCCTCTTTGCTTCGCCAATTCTTGTCCTCAACCTGCTTGTTTGGAGAACATTATGATAATTTTTTTTTTTTTTTTTTTTTTGCAGATACATATAATGGTGGAGCAAGGATATGTGCAATTACATACACTATATATTAGGGTCTTCCTCCATAAAAAAAAAAAGAAAATAATTAAAAACTCTTTCACTAAACTGATTATTAGAAGTATTAACATTATACTGCAGTTGATGGGTTGCATAAAAAAGTTTTTCAGAATTTTTTAGATCCTTATAAACCCTAACGGGGAAAAGAAAACACTCACCTTTTTGTTGGTCGTTGGAAAATAGCATCCACAATCAACTGCAGATGGAGATGCAGCTGCCAAATTTACGTCGCCTACAATTTCAGATTTTGCCCAGTTTCCTTTTCTTTTGAATTTTAGTTATCCTTTCTGATTTTCAGATAAAACATTGGTACTCACGTTTTGTTCCTTGATACTCTTTTCTAACTTTTCTTTGTTTCCTGCGTTGATCACTGCACAATTACTTCCGTTTTGACCATTTTAGAAACCATACTTCCAAAAAGTCACACACTATTATTTAGTGATTTCCATACTTCCCAGTCGACGAAAAAAAGGATCGCTGGATAGAAATTAGAAACTTCATCCACACATTCTACTCGTTTGGACATGTTTCGACTTGCCGAAAAATCGAAATCCGACTTGTTCTTCGCGACTTGCCAAATAAAATCAATGTCCGAAAGGCGAATATGTGCCCACCCTTTTTGAGTGTTCACCATCCAAGAGGGATGTTTTGTGTCCATGGAATGAAGTTGTGACGTAAATCAACAACATCATATATAGCCTTACGCCTCTTAAGAATTTCCAACATTTGCCTTAGAGAGATTTGGACTAGAGAATATTTGCCAGCCAAGCCTACCATTATTCTCCCATCCCGTTTATAAGACCAATAATGCTAATCCAACACCAACAACTGAATTGCTTTTCGCAGTTCAGAAAATACTCACCTACAATTCATTTTTACAATTTTACCTTTAAACTATTTTCTTTCTCATTCCTTCTTCTCTTTCCTTCTCTCTTCTTCTTCTTTCTCTTTTATTCTTTCTTCTTCTCCTTCCTCCTCTCTTCTTCTTCTTCAAATTTAGATCTACTAATAATCGAACGCCAAAAAAAGTGGCGAAACGTAACAGGGAACAACGAGAAAGCTCACCATCGATTCTGATAATTTTCTTTTTTTTTTTTCCAAATTCTATTTAAAAAAAAAATTTAAAAGAAAAAAGGACTGCTCAGGCTGGCTGACCCGAATGGTGGCCAGCCCGGGAACCTTGGCCGAATTTCTCACCGGCCAAGGGATGTGGATTGGCCTGGTCAGGGACAGGTCAATCCTTAAAGAGTGGTCAGCCATCGAGTCAGATAAGTCGTACAAATCCTCCTTGGAGATGGATACAACAGTCACATACTTCAAGTTGTTGAAAGAATGAAAGGGTTCTATGTCGACTGAGGCTCAGATCTTGTTGGCTGGTACATGGTTATCACACATCGTGGACATCATGCACACCAACATTGATAAGGCATTGATTACAACATTTGTAGAGAGGTGGCAGCCGGACACCAACACGTTTCACGTACCTTTTGGGGAGATGACCATCATGTTACACGATGTGCGACAGATATTGGGTATTTCCGTTGAAGGTAGATTGATTACAGCACAACCTAGGACTGCCGACTGTAAGACTTTGGTCAAGAAGGCGCTGAGAATGACTAGCCAGATGCTACAGACTAATAAAGTAATCCATGGTGGAGGGATTTAGTCAGGCCTTGTTGTGAAGACAGGCCAAGCGGCAGCGCTTGCTTTAGATCAGGTGACCACCTGGTTATGGGTCATGTTAGGGAATACGTTGTTTACCGACAGGAGTGGGACTCGAATTAGAGCGGCGATCTTCTCCGAGTTTATTGATGGCCTAGTCACCTGTAGCAATATATCTTGGGGTCTACTACTCTAGCCTATCTCTACCGTCAGCTAGGCATATCCACCAGATTGAAAATGCCTCAATGTCTGGTTGCTACACACTACTTCATGTGTGGATATATGTGTACTTTCCATGTTTCAGACCACCTTGGGGCGGTCCCTTTGAGGCTCCCGACCGACTCCGTGCTGGATGGTGGAATGTCCCAAATCCTGATAATAGTCCAGATTGTCTGATGCACTTTCGCAGCCAGATCGACAAGCTGATTCCCGATCAAGTACGTCACTTTTCGCACTTTTAATTAATAATAGTTACGTAAAATAATGTTATTAACGTATCTTATATCTTTTGTGTAGGTTGATGGTTGCCTTATGGCCCCGATCCTGTTTCTGATGATCCGAGGACCATATACAGTGGTTGGATACAGTACCGAGATATTATATAGCCATACTTCTCTAGTCGTGTATTGCGCCAGATTGGATACATCTAGGTCATTCCTCCACCCATTCCTCATCCCCTGAGTGCAAATCATAGTGATGATCACCACGCCTATAAGGTTTCATGGAGGCCACTAAGGCGTTTGATGCTTGGATGCAATTCCCATTCAGTACCGGGCTGGATCTAGAGCATTTTGAGCGGAGTGATCATGATAAGACTGCATGCGCTCCTAATTACCTCCAGTGGTACTTGAAATATTCGCATCCTTTCTTGGTTTTAGATGCCACTACTATAGGCGGAGTTAGAACCACATCTCACGTAAGTCTTTATTGCATAACCATTTCTTAAAATGTTTATACTATATATTATTAATTGTGTAATTGTTTTATCTATTTATTTATTTATTTTTTGCAGTGGGTTTACCGATTGTCCGAACTTCATAGAAATGCACTTAAGACAATCCGCGAAATTGATGCAAAGAGAGTAAAGGAGCATGAGGCATTGTTTGCTAATTTCAGGATGAATTCTGATTGAGCCAAAGAGATTGATGTGTATTTTATTAGGATGTTATGTGTTACTTCTTGGATTTCTACCCAATTTCAGAATGTTATGTTATGTGTTACTTCTTAGATTTCTTCCCAATTTCAGAATGTTTTGTTATGTGTTAATTCTTAGATTTCTTCCCAATTTCAGAATGTTATGTTATGTGTTTTAATGTTTGAAAAAATTTGCAATGGAACATATGAAATTTAAATAACTAGTTTTAACAAGTTAAATAAATGTTATGCAACTACTAACTAGATCTAGATAGTCTATTCCACTCTACTATCCTAGAGTAGTACTCATCTTCTCATCCTACAACATTATTGTCACGCCACCTAAACCAATAAGGATGTACAACATATACAGAAAAATCACTACCGAAATAAACACAAATGTAATGATCTACACAGCCGAGGTGAACAAGCACAATCTCTCGATGGTCTTCCGGCATCTCCACGATCAGTAAGGGGAAACACTATCAAATAATAATAACCTAGATCTCCGTCTAATATATTCTCGAGACTGTACAGAAAAACTGCAGCATTCCAGATAGTAGCAATCGTGTACAAGTCTTGTTTGCATTCCATATAATGGGACAGAAGACATCCACCTACCAGCCACCTTAACCATCGTATGTTTTGTTCCCTTTTGTAGTAATACGGAGGATCATATAAATCCAGCCATTTAATAAGATCTAGAATAATGGTTGTTCGGACCAACGGCCAATCCTCTTTTGAATTTCGAACATACTCTGCCACACATCGAAACCCACAGTTCCTATCTCCCCTCACATCAAGGTATCCCCGAACGAAGGGAGCCATAAAAGACGGAATAGATTGCCGAAACTGATATGAATGAAAATCCGTCCTCCAACCTCTTTGCTCACCTAAAGAAAACAATATTCACGTTATGTACATTGTCGAAACAAAATGTTTAAAAATAAAATGTGACATGAAAAAAAAAAATTCAAAATATTCTTACGACTATCATCGTATGTAGGCGAGGATATGCTCATGTGAGATCTCCCTGAACCAATAGTATACTTCTCCCAATAACACCTTTTCTGCGGGATATTCGCTTTCGGGCGCCCTTTAACACTTATCTTCACTGCAGGTTCCTCGAAACTGATCTGATCATGGTGTTGCTCTTGTTCCTCGAAACTCATCCGGTCATGGTGTTCCTCTTCTTCCATCTCATGGGGCAAAAACTCACTGATGCGGCTCAAAATTTCTGGCCTCTTGTTGAACACCTTAAGGGAAAGCTCTGTGAAAATCGTATGCTCCTCTGACACAAAAAGTTGAGCATCATCACTTGGGACCGAATCAGGTGTCGCACTTGTAAAATTAAGTATGCTCCAAATAGGGTGGAGGTCCGCATCTGTAATGGGCACCTGCAACTCCCTTTTCTGTTTAAGCTCACATGCACAGGGGATTTCATGGGTCGTTCTCAACACAACCACAAACATCATCCTCACCCAATTGCTGCATGCGAATATACTCACTTTGAAGAATTTCCAAACAGTAATGTGAGACACGTCTAGCTAGACGGTCATAGGGAAACTGAAGGTGCGCTTTCCTCGAACGGCATTCTGATTTGGTTAGACGAAACCTACATTTTAAATTCCTCACTGTTAATATAAGAACATTGGTAATTAAGTATCAAAAACAAAATTAAACAACAAACGAATTACGTACTTGATCTCAGTTAACTGATACTCGATCGCTGCGTGGATTCTGGTCCATATTGTAACTAGGTGACTGGTTGCCGGGTCAAGAAACCTCTTCATGGAACTATGGGTACTCTCTACCCTACAATTACTTGTGTTTCCAAGATGTGTGACCCCATTTGTCCACGCACGAGCCCACTTCTCCTTGTGAACTAGCCAAGTGGTCTTCACATAATGCACCAACTCTCCATTACTTTTCGTATTTGGGTGCATGTAGTATGATATATTAATCACACCCATTTCATGAAGGTACTCAGTAGGAGCTTCAAGTATCGAATCGAACATCTCCTTCTTCCACCAGTTCGCGAATTTCTTTCCAAAATGCCGCCGTGCGTTTTCAAAAACACATTTGTTGATGTGCCACACGCACAGAAGATGTACAGAATCTGGAAATATCAAGCTGATTGGTTCTGTCAACCCTAACTCTGTATCTGTTACTATGGCATACGGGTGCACCTCTCATCCAATCATATCCCGAAGCTGCTGACATGCCCAAATATAACTCTCCTTCTTCTCATCCTTCATAGTTACGTATCCAATCAGAAAATTCTTGTTGGTTGGAGTCATCCCAATAATTTGTAACAGCGGCATATGATACCTGTTTGTTCTATACGTAGTATCTATGCTCGGATCAACTCTATAGATACTGGATGTGCACAGAAAATATGACTCAACACACCTTTTTCATTAGCCGTAGTAATCACATACTTGTGTTGCTGAGTAATGTCAAAGAAGTGATCCACCAACGTTTTACCCTTCCTCTTTTCCACCTGCATCCTACTCTTGTAGTTGTATATCTGTTTGATTACAACGTGCTCGTCCGGGCATTTCTGCTGAATCGCCCGAAGCATTGCAGACGGTTTTACATTAATGGCAGTCAACTCGTCAACAATTGCCTTCGATTTATCACTAAGGCCGCTCATCTGCATCTGTCCCTCCTCGAAGCTGCCAAACGGGTGGTTATGCATACCATTACGAACGGGACATGAATGAATTCCAAAAGTAGATTCACCTGGGCGAATTTGGGCTAGAAGTCGGAACGGGCATCCACAATACTGCGCCTTTATTTCTCGCACCCGATTCTCTGTATCTCTAAGGGGAACACTCTTTGGACATCGGAATAATTTCTTAGTCTCATCTGTCTTCGACGCCTTAACCACTGTGAAATTAAGAGATATCGCAGTCTTTTTCGCCCACAGCACAACGGCTTCAATAGTTGCGAATCTTATGTTAGTATCGAAATGATGACTGTAATCAACACCGTCACCACCATAATCATGTAAATGAAATATATCAAATTTAAAAAGGTACAATATACATAACAAAATAGCTAATTCATTTATGTAAACAATAATTAATTATTAAAGTCTAAAAATTAATACTAACTAAATATCACATACAAATATAAATTTAATGAAATTAAACAAATATATACCGCATACCTAATCTACACTAATTATTAAATTAAACAAATTATACCTAATAAATTGAATTAAATATGCTACTAAAGCACAAAAAAAATTAAATGACATATAATAAATAATAACACAACATTCAACAACTAATTACATTAATTATAAATAAATTTAACTAAATTAATCAAACAATAATACAACAACTAATTACATTAATTATAAATAAATTTAACTAAATTAATTACAACAACAAAATTATAACAAGAAAATTTAAAAAAACCACAAAAAAATTGAAAAAAAAAAAAAAGAAAACTACCCAGGTTGGCCGACCCGACTGGCAGTCAACCCGGGAACCTTGGCCGGTGAGAAATCCGGCCAAGGGTAGAAGATTGGCCGGATCTGGGACCGGCCAATCATTCAATAGTGACCGGTTACGCTGGTGAGATAGCCGGTCACTATTCTATGATTGGCCAATCATTCAATAGTGACCGGTTATTTTTGGCTGAATTTCTCACCGGCCAAGGTTCCCGGACTGACCGTCAGTTGGGTCGGCCAGCCTGGACAGTCAGTTTTTTTTTATAATTTTTTTTAAATAGGATTTGGTAAAAAATTTTTTTTACCAATATCGACAGTACTCCTTCCCATTGATGTGTGTCTTGTTCCGCAATTTTTTTAAATTTCGCTTAGCAAATCTAGATTTAAAATTTGATAAAAAGAAAGAAGAAAATGAAGTTGGAGAAGGAGAAAAATAGAAAGAAGAAGAAAAAATGAGGAAGGAGAAGAAGAAAGGGGGAATAAAAAAAGTTTAAAAGTAAAATCGTCAAAAACAAACTGCAGGTGAGCAATTTCTGAACTGTGAAAAGTAATGCCCCACAAACAACTTCCTCTAATGCCCAAATCCCAAATCTATTAAAGGATACTATCATCTTGAAGTCAGACTTCATGTTTCTTTTAATTACAGCTAAAATGGATCTCATTACAACTCGGTTTCAGAGAAAAATACATAAACACGACAGAATGGTATTATAATCACATGCCGTAGATTGAGAGGACCAATATCACATCCTTACAGACACCTATCATTAATTCTATACTATGACATTTGACATCCAATTATCTACAATATATGCTTTTCCCTACAGGCTACAATGGTAGTAATCATCCACAAAGGTAGAGACGAGGAGGTCGAATTCACACTTTTGCAAGAGTTTATCTAAATCAACCAGTCATTTATCGATTTTGAGGTTGTTGCAAAGGTGGCCTAGTTCAGGTCTTGCATCCATCCAGTTTGTGAATCTCATTGCCGTTGCTGAAGTAGAGTACAGGTAAGATCTAAATGTTATCAGGAAAAAGTAACGCCTGAAATTGGAGAAACCAAATTTGTTACATTCTTAGAATCACGTGAATAGAGACCAAAAAAAAAAAGAGCAAGTTCTTAACTACGTGATTACAAATTTACAACCCTAACGTCGCTAGAACTAACCTTAAAGCTTTGACACCCATGTCATTAAGGTATGCTCGAAGTTCATCATCGTCATCATCCCCGTTGGGTATTTTCTCGAGCTCTTTAGAATAGTTATAGATATCATCACGCAAATGTCCTGCCCCAGCGCACCTGTAAAAGGAAGGGGACAATCAATATTCAATACTTTAGGCTCAAACTAGTCCCTCTTGTCAGGCGGATGGAGCTACCAACCTTTCTATTACATTGTCGACGTCTGCCTTGCTCTCAGGACCATGCATTAGAACTCTGGTGAGGCTTAATATGTCCCGATACTCACCCATTTTCCGTGCTTGTTCATCAGAAGTGCTAGAGACAATATTGTCCACGGACGTCGGTGTCACAAACGATGGAGAAGAAGATGATAACTTTGCCTCTGCTTCAAGTTTAATACAAAGAATAGCCATTGCATATGCAACCCCTCCAAATCCCGTGTGTGATACAAAAAGATAAGACCCTGCAGAGCTTTTTTACCCCCCAAAGCCAACAGGAAAATGAGAATAAAAATCAGAGGAACCAATAAAAGTATCAAGGAACAAGATGGAGTCAGAAGCTTTTTGCATTATCTAAACCATACCAATAAAAAGGCACCAATTTTCATGCGTTAAAATTTGTTGTACTTACTCATCCTTGCAGTACTGGATGGCATCAACATCAGAAGCCAAAGCTTCTCTCTCTCTGGTTAATGGTATCCTTCTGTACGATATGTTATAACCTTCAATTTGCAGTGCTGCATATACCTCAGCTGGGGTCTTCACATCATCTACAAATATATTCTCCCAGTATCCAATGACACTGACCTGATTGGATGCAGGGCTATATTCTTCTCGGTGTAGAAGCATCCTGCCACCAGATTGTCTAATCTCTGCAATTATGTCTTCTTTAAGTCGTGCCTCCATGTGTTCAACCTAAGATGCAAGGAGATGAAAATGTTAACGTCATTGTAACGCCTACAATTACCCCTGGCAGAAGAAATTCCGAAAAAAGTACATACAACTGCACCAGTAATTCCAACATGTTTAAGGGTGTCAACAGGCTTATTGAGTTCCCTGAGCACAAAAGGTGTTTCATTAATATAAACAACTGCCTCTTCCCTCAGATCAGATACAATAACTTTCCTGGCCATGCCTTCTCCAATCATGGCAGGCTTGGCACCAAGATGTGCTAGCATTTCCTTAGCTCCAGCTATTGTTGGTGTTGCCATACTGTACACAGGATAACCATCAACCTGAAATATGATACAAATTCAACCCATGAATAAAGAACAGTCTTACTATGTGACCAGACACAACATGACTTTAAGTTTTCATACCTGATAGACATGTGGTGCTCCATGAATTGAGATGTGGCTTGAAGTCCTTTGACCAGGAAAGAAGTACATCTTCAGAATAGATCCTTTACCCAGAACTGAACCATTGCGATCCTTAACAATGGCCTCCATTACTGCATCCCCATGTTGAGATTCATGAGGCGCTCTCAGTTCCTCCTGAATGTTAAAAAAGGGCCACATAGTCAAGTGAAAGATAAGCAAAATGCTGACTCTTTAAAGAAAAAAGAAAAATGTAGTGAAATTTTCTTACAGGAACAGTAAAAAATCGTCCAGGCCTCAATCGGATGGACCACTTCATTGCTTGGACTTCAGGACGATCAAGCAACCAATTTTTGAATGTTGTCTTTAATCCTCCACCCAGTTCCGAAAATCCATCAAATGCTTCACTACCAAGGTATGCTGCAAAGGCAATTAGACGAAAATAGCGCTCCAAGTATTCAGCACCACGGTTTAGAGCCACTCTCCTCTCCCTAGGCTCAATTTGTTGCCGGTTGAATAACTTCCTGTACTGCAACACAGCCTGACGGATGTTTTGCAAAGCCGAACATCTATCAATGATCGCATCCAAGGCATCTCTGCATTCAACCCCATTATCAAACAATCTTGTTATTTTCCACAGCAGAAGAATGTCATTGATCCCAAATGCATAGCTTGTATATCTTCCTGTCTTTGCAGTCAATGCTGTAGATGTCAGACCATGACCTTCACTTTCATCATCACTTGATATGCCACCACTGAATTTTTCATGCAATGCACTATTATCTTGTAATATTCTAATAGGTCTTCCAAAATCCATCCGAAGCTTTACAAGACATGCAATTACAGTACCAGTTGTTGTTCTTCCTATACCCATCTGTAATAAGATAAAGATAGCTAAAAGAAGTTACACACTGAAACAAACTTGAAGAATTTCCAAATAAGTGTCCTTACAGTAAAGGAAATCCTACCTGACAATTAAAAACAAAAGCAGTTTCTTTGGATGCCGATGCAATATTTGCAGCCAATATGTCAAAGTCAGAACTTTTGGGAGCTTTGCCGTCAGTGATAGGCACACGAGCATACTTGATTGGAAACCCATCATTCTCAAGGGAACTGAAGACCTCTAAGGGAGTCTGAACACCACCAGGGCTCACCCGTTCCCATGCATCAAATATTTGCCCATCATCAGTTTCATGAATAACCATAATAGCTCCTTGGTAAATATCAGCTTCTCGCAGAATGTCATCTTTCAGCCGAGCTTCCATTCTTTCTACTCTTTCACAATCAATTCCCTATAAAATCCATAGAATTACTTCAGGAAAATAAATCCTCTTACAAGTGTAAGTAAATCCTCTTACAAGTGTAAGCATAACGTGAAATGAAGAATGTAATAAGTTAAATATCATAACCTAGTTATAGATTTCTTCTACACTTCCATGTCCGCATCATTCGTAAACGCAAAAGAAAATAAGAAGAAAAATAAAAAATGCCACAACTATTTTAATTGGTAGGAACGCCAAGAACTTCGTGCGGTGAAAGAACATAAAACAACCTCTTTAATTTAGCCTGCAGCTTGACTGACCATAGAACGTTTGATCTGATTCTGATTTATAACAGTGATGCATGCTCTTGTACTGCATTTCTACTTGAGTTTTTCAGCATAATATAGCAAAGAACATATATGATGTGTGGAAAACAAACACACAATCCAGCCCTAAAAACTCTCACGAACGAAAGACATCATTGACATAGACAGGAAAGAAAATACAACTACAACAAAGGCCATAAAATTAATTCAACGACCATAATGCAACCTGAAATGAAATGATTTACAATTTTATTAACAAGAAAAAAGACCAGAATGATCTAACAAGATAAAATGTGACATATGTACAACCAAAGATTACTGGAGCATGAATTAGCATATTTCACATTAACAATTACCGTGTATTCCCGCATGTTTTTGTACGGTCTTTCTACTTCCCGTAGCACAAAGGGTTTCCCGTTGATGTAAATCACAGGTTCCTCCCTCATGTTATGCCAAAATACAGGACGTCCACCTTTATCACTGCCAATGCGTCGAATGACAGATTGTATACCGTCAATTGTGGGATTGGCTACACCATATACTGGAAACCCAGGAATTTCTCTGAAATTTGGGGCACCTTCAACTCTTTCTGGCAGACTAGGGTCTTGACAGCCAGGATAGTGGTCACTTTTAAGAACAGTTTGACTTCCAAGAACCTCCCCAGTCCTCAGAGCTGCAACTTGGCCCATGTCACGTGGACGGTCATCACAAGAGGCAGAATATTTTGTTAGGGACGGTTTAAAACTTGTATATCCAAGAGCTCCCATTGGGTCTCTCCTTAGCAACCTGCTCCACCCCAAGAAAAGAAAAAAATTGCTTCCTTGAGCAGCTATAGATAATAATTCTTGGATAAGCCTTGAGTAGCAACTGGTAATCATTCTTGGATTAACCTCACATAAAACATGAAGGGGAAGGCATGCAAAATCACGTCTAGGATTTAAGTTATTTATTACCTTCGAAGTATGCTATAGAGTTCTGGCCGCGCTTTCATCCAATCAGTGAAACTGCACCGGCCAGCAAGTCTAGTCTGAAGAATGTCTCGTTCTGTATGGAGATACACAGCAAAGCAAATAAGGAAATAATATCTTTCCAAATATTCCACAAAGAAGGAAAGTGATGCCTCCCTCTTCATTTCATCTGGTTCACGCAATATACTGTTGCGATATGTAGCAATGGCTTCACGGAGGTTCTGATATTAGGTCACATTTAAGAAGTTCAGAATAGGGGGGAAAACATTTTAAAGTTAGGACATCAAGAAGGAAACAAGATATTCAAGCAGGTCCTTCATAACTAAATAAAAAATTTATAAACATTTTCCCTAATTATGAATTCAATGGATGGTAGAGGAGCTCGTAGAACGAAAATGTATAAAGATTATATTCTAACTACAATTCAGCATCTTTTTAGGTGACGTTCCGAAAAAATCAAAGCCAAATCAACCTTTGCAGCTTTGTTCTTTGAGGGCGGGGGAGTTATAGCAATAAATAGAAGAAAACCCTAGTGCAACTATTTATAGATTACCTTAAATTTGTTTCATAGTATTCAGCGTGACAGCTGACTATCTACTAAAATCATGGGAAAGATAAAGTCGACCGAATAGGAGATTTCATATACCTACTGCTTGCCTAATATCCAAGCTGAATATTTCCGAACGTTATAGTCAATTAAATGAATGTAAAGCACCCCCCATCATGTATATAGAGTTGACTTCTCATTGTTTAGCTTCAAGGTCATAGTATATATAGAATGAAAATAGGATTGACTTTCAACGCTCACTGGCCAAGATGGATATACCCATGCAATAATACATATAATAAAAATGATAATAAGAACATACATAGCTTCTATGACGGAAGTGAAAAGACATAATATGAAGTCCAAAACATTTTTCCTAGGAGTTGCCACTTTCTAGACACAAACAAAGAGCGTGTCGCTCTGCAGCCCCAAAACACTAGAGAAATTATAAAGCAAACCATATAAAAGACCTCCTATGATACCAAAAATATAAATAAGGCTTGGCGGTTCGTACCTGCATGGAAGAACATTTGTCTATGACTTTATCGACTTGTCTTTTACCTTCAACGCCACCCTTAAGACAGATCTCTAGTCAATAAAAATTCAACAAAAACCTTGACTTGTCAAATTACGGAAACTAAGGATTGAGTAACTTTGGCACACCTCTAAAACCCGAATGAGGCTTCTTATGACAGCATATTCTCCCCTTAAAATTGCTTCTTCTGAATTTGGTAAGTAGTCTGTAATACTCGAGTCACAATCAGAAATTTTTCCAATGGAATTGGTCCTTGGGATGCCTGTTAGATGTCAAATGTAGATTAAAAAATAATAGTAGCAACAAAGGTACGTGTATGCTACATGATACGCTAGACGATTCAAATTTATAAGGTAATCTAATATATATATATATATATATATATATATATATATGTAGGAAAAAAACCAACTGCATGCACTGGACCAATTTTAAAACCAGAATCAGTTAGCTAAACATTTGTGAGGCAGATGTTTAAAGTAAAACAATGAGGTAAGTCATGCAGCAATCGAATTACTGATCTTTAAGCACACCAAATTGTCCATGAAGAGTGAGAACGAAAAGAAATCCCTACCTGAAACACCAAGTCGATTAAGATACACCAAAGTTGCAATCACCATCCCAGTTGTTGTCCTTCCACGGCCCATTTGGCAATTAAATACAATCTCTTTGTTTATATTGGCTTGTGAAATCTTATGCACCTGAAGTATAAAGCATGGTACGAGCATCTCAGAGAAAGTTATATAACAAATTAGGGAAACCATTTATTATCTTTAGCTAAATATAAACGTCTCTTAAATAATAGATAAACTGCTACTGATGAGCTGTCAAGGTAGAACCTAGGTTAAATACTCACGAGAATGTCGAAGTCCTGTTCTTTGGGTGATTTCTCATCCGTTACAGGCACTCGCTCATAGTCAACAAGGTAGTTTTGTTTCTGCAGTTCCTCGTAAACCTAACATTGAAATTGAGGTTTAAAATTACTGTAAGCAGCAATCGGATATCCTTTTATTTATGACCAATATAAAGGGGAAAAGCATAAAAACCTCTAGTGGAGTTTTCACAGAAGCAAGTGTTACTGGCTCCCATTGATCAACCATCTGACCATCCGGTAATTCGTCAGTTACAAGGATTTTATTTCCATATCTGACATCAGATTTATGCCATAAATTTAATAACATAACTGAACAAAAAGAGAAATATTTCTTTTAAATTCATGGAATATAAGAAGAAAGACAAAGGTAAGGACGAGAACAAAAAACCTTGCAGCTTCAAGAAGGATATCGTCTTTCAACCTATCCTCCATTTGCTCCACTCTTTGCCTATTGATACCCTAATTTCAGAGGTCAAATTGCATCAGAATGATTAATTACTGGTATACGTCAGCATTAACATAGAAAAGTAAAAAAGTTTTAATTAAAACGAAACAAACCGTATACTCCATATTGGAGAATGGTCTTTCCACATCCCTCAACACAAAAGGACGTCCATTGATGTATATAACCTATTTAGTGAAAAAAAGATGACAGAAACACGTAAAAAGCTTTACGTAGCAACAACATAGTTTCTGAAAGTATTTGGACACGTGAATAGAAGCTAGACAAGATTCCATTACTGCACAATTAAATTCAGAATAAGACAGTTAATACCGGTTCCTCTCGCAAACTAATCCAAAGGACCTGAGTGTTGTTCCCCCGTATTTGAGCTCCAATGTGATCAAGAACATTTCTAATGCCATGAATAGTAGGAATGGCAACACCATGCACACGTGACAAGTCAGCCTGTGACAAGAGAAAGAAAAATTATTGGCAATGAGCTGATCAATGAAGACGAAACGTGCAAGCAACTTTTGGTTGATATATCTAAAGTAGAAATCCTAGTGATCAGATAAATTATAGGTAAGAACCATGCATGGACCAACAAGAACAAAACTACGTAAAAGGCATGTTGAAAAGCAGATAAAACCACATGAAAGGGCATACAATCAAAAGATTCAAGACACAGATTGACTCGTGCTGATTCCGATACATCCAGTCCTACAAACAACTTTTGGGAATATGTAAAAGCAATTAAAAGGAGTGGTGAGATTAAGTTAATCAACTGGTCCACAACACGAGTATACAAATAGTTAGCGGAAGCAATGCAATGCCAGAGGGAGACAAGGTTCAATAGGCCGTAAGCCCTCCTAAATAGTACATAGCCTCTACCTCTACGGTTGGGAAAAGTAGTACAGTACTAAAAAGAAAATTTTGTGTGGGGGGGTTTCAAAAAAAAAAAAAAAAAGGAAAACCCATAACAAAAAGAATACTGTAGTTTTTGATTAGGTGTAATCAAATTGAAAGAGAAGGACATGCAATTATGTGCAGAATTACGAAATTTTGAAGAAGGGTAACCTTCCGGTAATTGGGGGCACCGTCGATCTGAGGGGATAAGCGTTTGTTCTGACATCCAGGAAAGTGATCGCTCTTGAGGATGGTTTTTTTACCCAACACGGAGCCGTCTCTTTGAAGCATCACCTGCTCCGGCTCCTTTGGTATGGAAATGCTTCTCATCTCTCTTCTTCCCATCAATTTTTTTACCTGCTGGCTTCTGGGCTCCTTCTCCTGAACAACAACAACAACAGCAGCAGCAACAACAACAACAACTTTACTTTTTAACTTGAAAAAGGGTATCAGTTACCACATTCAATCCACACAAAACAACAATAGATTACCAGCATATCCTCTGCTACTCTTTCTCTCCTTCCTTCAGTAGTAGTAATCAGTTGCTGTTCTTTCCTTCCCTAAAAATGATGCTATGGAAAAGCAATCTGAGAAATGTTGCTGACGTAATGGGAGTGGAAATTGGGATGGGAAGAGTATAAAACAACGGCAGCATGTCCAGCGAGGGAAGCACCGACCCAAATGAGAGGATTAGGATGGAATTTTGGAACTTTGTTAGGAAGTCTCTATATCAAGGAAGGTGGGGGAGGGAAATGGAGGGGGTTTTTTTTCCCTTCTTAATTGGTTCTTTAGCCCTCCTCTCCTCCTCCTCCTCCTCCTCCTAAGGCTTTAATGACCTCACGTAAATTAACCTTCTGCTCTAAAGTCTCAACTCATCATCTTTCTCTCTGGTTTTTCATTTTGGCTTTCGTCAAAACTCGGGATGGGGAGACTCCGGATAGAATTGAATAAAGCATATACTCGTAACTCGAGTTTTGTATTATGCGGTTTGTTGAATCGGTTAATATCAAAAACACCCCAAGATTTAATCGAACTATCTACAACACCCTCATGTTTTAGATAAATGTCAAAGGCACCCTTCGACAACCACTTCAGCTATCTAATTGGTACTCGGGTTACGTGGAGATGATGACATCTACAAAGGAGAAGAGACTTATGCAAACACATTTTTGGCCTTTCAAAACAATATTGCGAAATGGTGTTTTGGTCGTCTTGGTGTTTTCAACATTTAAACCAGGAGAAATTATTCAGTGCAGCTGTTGTACCACGTAGAATTGTACATCCAGACACAATAAATCGGGTCAAGTAGTAATTTTAGGGGGAAAAGAGATAATTTCTACGAGAGTTATATCACCAAACTACTTTAGTAATTTTATAACAAGCACCATTTTTGTTTCGTGACGAATAAATATTAGAAATATAGTTGGATGTATATATTTTTAATCACATACTAGATTCGCCCGGGGTATTTTAAAATAGTTAAATGAAAAATAAATAACAAATTACTCAAAAAAGAATAATACAATTTATAATATGTATAACATAATATAAAATCGGATCCACAGAGCGAGCCGTTGTCTGGGGTTGTTTAATACTATCATATATAACAATGTTCGTCCATTTGACCCCAAAAAAAAATAATAATAATAATAACGTTTTAGGATTTATTTTGAAATTGCATGCCTCCACCGTCCTTTAAAGTCACATATGTCATTAGAAGTCAAGTTTAGTTGGAAGTCTCTATTTGGAATGATGAAAATACCCTTGTGAAACCCAAAATGAAAATTGTTAGACAAAACGTTTCTCCAAATTCTATTGATAAGGAGGCCAAATATGCATTTGTAGATCAGTCTCAAAACTATCCAGAAACTCACTAACAATTGGTCATCTTCCAGAGAAGAAGTTGTGATATGTAGGTTGGATTTGAATATTCTTTATACGGTTGAAAGAATTACCTACAATTTCATTTCAGAAGTAAGTTACAAATTTTAATTATAAACATGCTAAAAAAAAGCTCTAAACTCGGTCGCTAAGTATTAAAGATGTTGAAATTTCAACATGCATGGAATAAATGATATCAATGAACTTACAGTTTCAAATGCAAAAGTAAATAATTAGCAAGCTTGACCATCTTTGCCACCTTGCACTGTTGCACAACTCAAATATCAATACTAAATGAACAGTGAATGAAAATCTCACCACATATTCTAAAAGAATAATAAAAAATAACAAAGAACCAACCATAAAATATTTTTAAATATTCAGTTACATGAAAAAACTGAAATTGTCAATTTATAGTTCTCCAAGAGCCTGAACTTCACCTCGTTCGAGTTTACTAATTAGGAAACAAAATATACAATCACATACCACAATAATTATGTTAAAAAGGCTTAAAAGTAATGAAAAATTCCGTTCACATTCCCTGACCTCTTGCATATTTATATGCTCCTAATTGTCTTTTTGATCTCTCATCAGAAAAAAAAAATTGAAATAAAATAAGATCACTTTAATTGTACTTACTTAAAGCAACAAACATTTTGTACACATGTCAGCACCACAAAGAAAAATTTCCCTCCAAAACCATTTACAGTACAAATCTGAAGCTACAAAATTAGGACACGTGGCTTCACCAATGAGTTGCAAAATTTTTTTCCCTATGTTCACTCGGTCAGAAGCCTAATTTCCAGCACAAATTTTTTTTCCTATGTTTACTCGGTGCGAAGCCTAATTTTCAACACTATAATCAATACAATACAATATATACGACTCCCTGAAATCACCAATCTCTGAGCTTTGAGAATCATCTGCCTCTGTACTCTTATTATTATCTCAAAAAATCATCTGCCTCAAAATTAGCTTTGAGAATCATATGTCCCTGTAATTCAAACGAGAAAACAGGATCATATATATCAAATTCACTCGGTCAGAAGCCTAATTTCCAGCATAAATTTTTTTTCCTATGTTTACTCGGTGAGAATCCTGATTTCCAGCACTGTAATCAATACAATACAATATATATAAGACTCCCTGAAATCAACAATCTCCTTTGAGAATCAACTGCCTCTATACTCTTATCCCAAAGAATCATCTGCCTCAAAATTAGCTTTGAGAATCATCTGTCTCTGTAATTCAAACGAGAAAACAGGATCATATATATCAAATTCAGATTTTTATCACATATATATAATAATTCTATTCACACTGATGATGATTTCTCTATTATTATCCTGTCAATCAGCATTAAACAGATACCAAATGGGATAAAATATACATTTTTAAATGCAAATCACAAAAACTAATCCATCCATATCTCTTATTATCAATTCCGTGTATATCTTTCATAATAACTTCAATCACATCTCAAAAATAAAACATTTAAGAATGGTCGAATCATCAGTGAAATACCTGTATAAATAAATGGTTCTATAGCCATCCAAAGATTTAAAACACCATCATTTAGCAAAGCCTAACAGTTTATACTTCAAAAGTTCCTTTTTTAATTTGTTGTTTCCATGGCCTCAGAACAGAACTCAAACCAGTATGTTGTTCAACCTTCCTTTGTTGATGAAGGTGGTAATGAAACTGTTGGTAATGTTATCAACAGTTTTTCGCTGTTAACCAATCATGTCGAAGCATCTGGTCCTTCCAGTCCCAAAACTGTTTTGATTACCAATCATGCTGGATCATCTCCCCCGATCAGTCCCTCCTCAAATCAAGCAGTTGCTGCATCTGTTCCCATATCTGCAGTTCAAACTAATGTTGCATCTGTTCCCATAACTGCAGCACAAAGATACATTGCTGACATAAATGGACTGATTGATACAAAAAGCATACATTTCTTCATTGTTGCCCGGATTATGACGTTATGGAAAGTACCAGAGTCTTCCAAGAGCAGCAAAATTAAATCGATGGAGATGACTTTGATTGATGCTCAGGTTTCTTACATGTTTCGTTTTATAATTCATCTAAATTATAGAGTAAATAATGAAATTATTGTTTGTTCTTATCATTTTGTTGTATACAGGGTAGTAAGATTCAGGCTACCATTCATGGCCGCTATGTGAAAGATTTTCAAGATATCTTAAAAGAAGGTTCTGTAAGAAGGCTGTCACGATTTGATCATGGACTGAACATTGCTGGTGGTTTTCGATGTGCTAAACACGAATACAAAATCGTGTTTGAATCAAACACATTGATTGAAGCTGTTTTTGATTTTGACATTCCAAATCACATTTTTGAGTTCACACCTTTTGCAGAAGTTACAAATTTTGTGGCTAATTTTGATTATTGTTTTGGTAAAAGTTCCATAGTTTTTACATTACTTCATTATTTTTTTAAGATTGTATCGGTCTGCATATTCATATGTATTTAAACTTTTTAATTTGTAATTTTAAACATTTATGCAGATCTGAGAGGGCACATAATTGCATACAGTGATCCTATTGTTGACTACGGAAAAAAAAGGATTTCTGTTGAACTTGAAGATGAAAAGTATATAAGTTTTATACAATTATTACATCTAAAACAATGTTTATATAATGTTTAAGAAATCGTAATAATGAAGATTGTTTATGTATGAAAAAAGGGCTGATAGGCTGGAAGTAACCTTATGGGGTGAACATTCTGACAGAGTTTTGGAATACATGGACTCAATCCCCACTATTCATGTTGTGCTTATTGTACAGTATGTAAAGTTCAAGAAGTACTACTGTAAGTATATTAGTCCTTAATACATATTTTCCAGTTATCACTTTCAATTTACAAAGTTTAGTACTTATATTTTATCACCATCAAATGGACAGCAAAAGCTTCTGTTACTACAAATCTATTGAATGGAAAGATTTATCTTGATGACATGACCATGCCTGAGATATTTGAATATAAAGACAGGTATATTTAATATTATATATTGTACAACAGTTTATGAATTATGATAAATACATTACAATTTAATACTTTTTATGTCCAATAAGTGCCTTCGACGATGAGATCAAACAAGCAAGCATTCAAAAAATTTCGATGATGTCCTCTATATCTAGATACACTACTTATGAAGATTTCATAAGTGGCGCAAACCTGCTGTCATTGGCTAACATAGATCAACTAGATGGGTATCATAAATCATACTAATTTTCTATGTCAATCATTATTAATACTTTTGTTTGGATTACAATTAATGTTGGTTTCTTTTAATTCTGTTAGGCTGCCTATGTTGTTGTCTTTGCAAAGATAACTGGTTTAGCAACAGAATATGATTGGTCATACATAGGTTGCAAAGAATGCAACAAAAAGGTTGAGGAAATCGAGTACTTCAGAGGTAAGAAGCCTAATGATGAAAAACAGGTTGTCCAATCACTGAGAGGGAGGAATGTTGATACCCAAAAGAAGATAAGTGTTGAGAAGAAGTGGATGTGTGGTAACCACGGTCCTATTTCTGCTGTTGGACCAAAGTAATGGATTTATTTTTGTATACTGTTAATTTATCAATTTGAAATTTTAGGTAATATATTACAGTTATAGTTTCTCAACAATTATATGCTCTGTTTATGGTAATATGAGCAGGTTCAAGTTACAGGTATATGTTAGGGATGCATCTGGTAGCAGGATTGTAACCCTATGGGATAGGATGGTTTACAATTTCATTAACAAGACTGCTGGTGAATTACGTCAGAAGGTATTTTAAATTGAGTCTCATTTTTTTCTTCAAAAAAAGATTAATGGAATAACTAATATGACTTATCAATGTTACAGGAGGGGAAGGATTATCCTAAAATACTTAATGAAATTGTTGGGAAGAAATGTCTGTTCAGGCTGGATGTATCTAATTTCAACATGCGTAACAGTAACAGTGAGATATCAGTTGCTAGGCTTACTACAGAGGCAGACGTTATTAAGAAATATCTAGATGATGTTGCTGAAGATCAAGTAAGTTGGATACTTTATACACACAATCATTTATATTTCCTTTTGGCAATATTTTGTTTTAAAGCAGTGATGCTATATAATTAACTTTGTACGATTACATTTCAGGACATTGATCCTGAAATGAATACTATCAAAACTTAACACCTAATCAGGACAGTACTACAAAGGTATTTTAAAGTTATATATCACAACTTCTAATGAATATGTGAGATTTATGATTTAAAGTTCATGTAAATTTGTGCAATAAACAGATATTCCAACACTTACATTTGCTTGTAAACACAGACTGCCGTCTTCTGCACTGATCATAATGACATGGGACTTCCAGGCAATGACATTGCAGACAGTCCTCACTCAAAGAATAAGGTACCTGCAAGTGCCGGTGAGGAGAGTGTCAAATCAAAACCCAACAAGCGTGTCAAAAAGCTGTGATGCCGTTGAAGGAAGACTCAATTTAATGCATGAAAAAATAAAGAAACACCTTACTTTGTGTTTGTGTTTTGTCATCTGAATTTTTTTTCCCAATCAGTAAACATTATTTATATTTTCTGAACTTCGTTTTCCACTATTATATTGGTATGGAATTTTGGATTTTTTTTTTTTATAGGAAATTGCCTTTTGTTTTACTTATCAAGTTGATTGGTTTTCCACACCAAATTCATAATAATGATGCTTTCATGGGTTTTAAGTAATGTTTTCCATTTATGTGTATGAAGAAGCATATTGATTACGGTGAATAGATATTGATTATACAGAAGGATTATATGAAAGCAGAATTATTCTTGGTGGATCTGAATGGAAGAAAATGTTATCAATATTTTGTTTTAAGTTGCTAGGCTGACTACAGAGGCAGACATTATTAAGAAATATCTAGATGATGTTGCTGAAGATCAAGTAAGTTGGCTACTTTATACACACAATCATTTATATTTCCTTTTGGCAATATTTTGTTTTAAATCAGTGATGCTATATAATCAACTTTGTACGATTATATTTCAGGACATTGATCGTGAAATGAGTGCAGAATACTATCAAACCTTAACAACTAATCAGGATAGTACTGCAAAGGTATTTTAAAGTTATATATCACAACTTCTAACTTCTAATGAATATGTGAGATTTATGATTTAAAATTCATGTAAATTTGTGCAATAAATAGATTTTCCAACACTTACATTTGCCTGTAAACACAGACTGCCGTTTCCTACACTGATCATACTGACATGGGACTTCCAGGCGATGACATTGCAGAGAGTCCTCCCTCAAAGAACATGCTACCTGCAAGTGCCGGTGAGGAGAGTGTCAAATCAAAACCCAATAAGCGTGACAAAAAGTTGTGATGCTGTTGAAGGAAGACTCAATTTAATGCATGAGAAAATAAAGAAGGATAACAATAGATATTGATTATACAGAAGGATTACATGAAAGCAGAATTTTTCTTGGTGGATCTGAATGGAAGAAAATGTTATCAGATCATGCAGATGTTTTAGAGGAAGCTACAACTGCAGTTTTACAGTACGATGGAAATATGAGTTTCACTAGCCTTTTTTCCAGAGCTAATGGAGTTGAAATACCAGGCCCTGTAACTGTCAAAGAGGAAGACTGCTTCAAAACCATTATTTTTACAACCATTGCAAAAAAAAAACTATTTTAAGATATTTTATGGCTGGCGCTCTCTTCAAATGTAGTTACTTTTTTATGACCAATAATTTGTGTTTTTAAAATTTACGCAGACTGTTCCTGTAAATTTTTGGAAGCGGCCCAAGAATATAGTTTTAAAAAGAACCGCTTAAATACTTACTGTGGCAGGACCTTATAGTATGAAACTTCAACAGGCTTATGACAAAAGGTTCATTGGAAAAAGAGTTTGTAAATTAAAAATGGCGGGAGACTGGGAGAAGTTGCTCTCTGACAATGCCATGACAACAGGAAACCTCTTTCAATTCCATTTGGACAGGGATAGCGTCCAGCCAAGAAATAGTGTTGTTAAGTTTTTTTGCAGTGTATGTAATTGATAGATGATTTCAATATTGGTGTTTGGTTAATTATGTTTCACCACATAATATAAAAGTTATCTTACATTTAGTGTTTTTTTTTTCAATCTTCAAATAACTGAACAACAATCGTCGAACATTTAGTGTTTTTTTTCAATCGTCGAACATCATGTAATGCACTATATTTTCTACTTGGTTATCGGTTTTCATAATTCAACTAAAAACTAAATGCAACCAAAGTTCGTTAAAAAAAAAAATAAATACTGAGATTTATTTGTGAAATTTAATGTTTGCGTCAAATTTGCCATCTAATAAGAAAAGCCGACAAACAAATCGAAAGAAAAAACAAAACTCTAATTCTTTTTATGGTATTTATAATTAAAAATTGATAAATAAACTAAAAGTAATAGTTGAGAAAGTAAAAAATCACGGTCAATTTTTCCGTCGAATTAAGTAAACCGAGTCGACGAAATAGAAATAGGACGTTTTGACTTTTTTTTTTTTTTACGAAAAAACGAGACATTTACCTATACTACAAAACTATTACATTGCTTCAGTGGCGGAGCCACATTGAGCCCAGAGCCCCAGCTAAAAATTTTTTAAATACACCTAATGTATTACTAAAATTAAAAATTTACCGTTAAACTTCAAAATAAATATTATTTTGCTCCAGTAATATCTACATGTAGTAGTTTTGCCCCACCTAAGGGTAGGGGCTTGGCTCCGCCCCTGACTGCGTTGATATGAAACTCCGACAATATCGTGTTCCATCCAATGTTTTACACCTATCGGCGATTCATCAAGCTGCACCAAACTACCCGGCACTGTATAAGTTAGAGAGGCCAAATAATCCACTGCAAAGTTAGAGAGGCCAAACTACCCGGCACTCCACCCTCCAATTCCGTCCCAATAGCTCTCTGATGCCCTCTATCAACGTTGCATACACTCCCATTGCTCCATCGCTAGCTTTAACCAAGTCAACAACACATTGGATTTGACCCTTCAATCTAAAAGTCGTCATTTTGAACGCGACTTCAAGAAAAACATTGAAAGGGAGGAAAAAAAATTTAACACCTCGTCGACTTTTTCGTCGAGATATCACAACCGACGGAAGCTCGCATGCTTGGGAACATAGTAAAGATGAATCCGGGTGGGTTGAGCCTGACATGTGTTGATAGGCCCTCATTTAGGTTTATTCGAAGGAGACATCGGTTTTGTGAAATTATGATTTCATTTTCATTTCTCGGAGAGGCAAATCGCCTATAAACTTCGCATGGAGCTCAGGCACGGAGCGCAATATGATCTTCTTTCATCTGACTATGTTGGTCTCAATCTACGTTAGAGTTGATGAGTTTATCGAATATTAGATTGTGTCACTTGTTTGTGTTCTCTCAGGAATCATCTTTGCTGCTTAGCTTTAGTTTGGATTTGTGTTTTGCATTTGTAGACTGAATGGTTAATTGTGGGTGCATTCTGTGATCATCATGTTCACTAACCTTATTTGACATATCTTCCATAAGACTTATAGTACATTAATTGGGAGTGAATTGTACTCGCTCCATATCGAAATGATTGATTATTTATTTGGTTGGGTTTTATTTATTTTAGTATAATTAAATTGTACTAAAAATAAAAATCTAACCATATATACAATTAGTTTCAGTTTCAGAGAGAAAATATTACTTTTTGGTGGAGGATAAAAGAATGAAATGAATTCATTAATTCCAGCAAACATAAATGACCAAAACAACAGAATCCACTAATTAGAGACATGAAGAAACTTTTTCTACATCCAGAGAGGATTTAAAGTT